GACTACTTCGTTTCCAGTAAAAGAAAAAAAAGTAGGTTTATAAAATAAATACTATCGCACCTTCTGATTTTTTTAAATTGTGGGTTTATTTTCGAAAGTTAAAAAATACTGGCGAGCATTAAACGCATTACTTGACATTTCCAAGGCTTTTTTGCCTGAGAGATACTTTAGAAGAAGGCCATTTTCTTGTGATCAGTCTTCCTTGTGTGACTAGTACATACAAAGTAGAAAAACAGGAACCAGTAGATCTTCCCTCGATTCCCCTCGAGCCATTTCGTCGCTCCAAAATTCTTAGCAACTTGCCGCTGCCTACAGTTATGTCTGGCGACATAATGGTAGTTGGAGCTGTTCTAAGTTTGGGAATCTGGCAGGTTTTTTCATCCCTATCTCTTGGGAGTTCAGTGGCTCACTTCGAGCTTGTGCGGCTAAACGCCGACAAGATGAACCCGTGACGTCCAGCGCGCTTACCACCGCCGGTTGTAGCCAAGTGGAGTTCCGCCTGGAACCCAAACCCTTGCAACGGTTTGTAGTCGCCTACGCCTCTCCGTCGAGGTTCGTCGGCGCAGTATTGGATCATCTTCGTTCAGTTCTATAGGCAGACTTTCCTTTCCCTATACACTCCTGTTGTCGTTGAAGTACCCGATACTCGATCCACGACGGCTTGCCAACGGTCGTCAAGTGATTCCGAAAGCGCACTAGCAGCTCCGCTTTCTCAGCATGTCTCCCGCTGTGTCTGAGCCCTTGAGCCCTTTGCTGCTTTTCGACTTCTCGGTGACTCCTTATTGCTGCCACGACAGGCAGGCATGCTTTCCCTCATGGATCCGAAGTCGAAGTCAGTGAGAGACGGACGATCTTCCCAGGAGTTGGTACCACGATTCTCCCTAGGGCCTATACCCATACTCTAGCACAATTTCTTTCTCTGCCTACCGCCCATCTTAGCCTAATGGCGTCATCGTCGATTTATTCTTCCGTCTCGATCTCCAGCCGTTACACCCAACCCCCTATATTATTACCCACTATCTCATTTGATGACTTGAATACATTATCTAAGTGAGAAAATGATCCTTAGACGTCGAAGCTAAAAGTATATGAAATGTACGCGATCAAGTACGAATATGAACACGCATATCCTAGTGTATTTACTATTTTTTTTTGTTTTTGCATCAAAATGTGTACCCGTTTAGTTGGGCAGGTTACTAAAATCTAGCATCCCACATACAAACATTAATGTTCCTGAAGCATTGATCGCACTCTAGATTCTGTCAATTGGCGCCTAAACTCGGCGCCCCCTCGATGGCGATATTTGCCATCAAAGCCTTTATTCTTTACTATGTTTTTGTTACCTAACACTAAATTACCAAGGTCACGTTCGAAGCCTTCAAATGTCCAATACACAAACAGACACATACGAAAAAAAGAAACGAGATAAACGAAGGCATACGGGTTGCATTGTTTGAACTAACTAAAAGTTAATGTAGGTTTTCTTAAAGATCCTCTGTGAATTAGTTTGCACTTAAAAATTAAAAAAATGCCCAGATTTAGCTGTATTTAACTTGCTCTTCAAACTAAACGCCTGTAGTCCGTGTGAAGCACGATCTCCGCATTAAAGATAAAAGCTTATCAAGACCATGTTGAATTGCCACAGTGAATACCCACTTCGCGGGCCCTAGCACACATAACTGTCACTTTCTCAGCGCGGATGGGTTTCGTTATTTCTCTCGGATTCTAAGCTCCAAATGCGACGTTTCCATTTGCTCAGGTGGCCATTCGCGAAAAAAAAACGCACTTTATAAAATTGTCAAGTTTTACCGTAAACACCCTCCTTAAATTCAGCTCGTTTTGGCACCGTGAGCCACTCCCAATTAGACTCTTCGTACATTATTGTGCCATTGAGGTGGCAATCTGCTTCATTAGTCGCGGACAGCTTATACTGTAGTATAAGGGTAGAATGCCCTGTGATAGACACATATACCAAACGTAATACGTATATGTCGTGTTAAAATTAGAAGCGATCTCATCAAGTAGAGACTTAGAGAGAAGAAGTTGTACGGTGAGTGCGACCCCAAAAACGTGAATTCTCGTTAGGGCATTCTCAAACAAGGAAGTCCAAGTAAGTCACGCTTTAAGTTAGCAGGTTGTTACTGGCACCGACCTAACGAGAAGTGGTAAGTAAAATAAAGTATCCTCAATTTTGTGGTCGTATTGGCCTTTCTTCCCAAATGATTTTCCCATACACCAATCTGACCTACTAAACCATGGCCTTGTTAGCTATTCGTTCGAAACCTGCCGCAGTGCTCCTTTCAGAATGATACAGAGCTGTATATTTAGCGATATTTAACTTAGTCCTAGGTATTACAGTTATGTCAAATTAACGACATGTATTTCAGCCGCGTGCCCGTACCGTTACCTTGCTGGAGAATATCAATTTTATTTAACACGTTTATTGAACACACGAGTTATTTAGTGGAGAAGACTCAGCTTGCCAAAAATACACTGACAAGTCGCAGTTCGTGACCCCTCGATGGATATCGCTTTGAAATGATACTAAGCACAATTCATAGTGTACGTTGACGTCGGTCAGGAGACGAGGTGCGACTTACACAATCAACGGGGCTCATATACTTCAAAGCATTTGGGAGCACCTGACAGAATTGCATGTCAATGAAGAAGTTTTCTGCTGTCGACTAGGGAATCGTCAAGGATGAAAAACAAGTGGATTTCTCTGGCGTACTTCTTAAATAAACTGACAGAAATAAATTCACTCTCGAGTGCTCGAGGAGCCGTTGGGTTCATGGATAATGAAAGCGTTCCGACGTTTAGTCCTAACCTAATTCGAAATCATTCATTTAAGTTAGGCCTATCAAACTTCTGCCAGGAACCCAGATTCAATGGTATGCGCGAAGTTATTTTTGGCAGTTAACCGCGTGTTAGGTATTAGGTGCCAACGAAATTGCCAAAGATAGTTTTCCAGTGCGGAATACTCCGATGCCAAAGTGCGCAAGGGAAAAATAGAATAATATATAAAAATTTAATTGTATTATGATGTACAGCAAAGGGGAACTCGTTGGGCACGAGGTATTGGCGCCTTCAATCTGATTGTATGCACGGAACAAAAATGTACATCAAAATAGGAATATCTAGGTTTATAAGCTAACCTTGTGGACCAAATCAATTGTACCGATTCTGAGCACGGCACAGAAGTAAGCCTGACCTATCCCTGTCCACGGTGCCATCCCGTTTATTCATATGGTTCAATAGGATGCCGATGATCACACTCACTATTTCTCGCCTAATTTTTATTCTCTCACCTAATACACCTATAAAAAGAAAACCATCGACAGAGCCAGTTTAATTTAAAGAAGACCTTTTGCTATTCATACAAAGATATTACAGGTATAATAGGGAAGTAATTTGCTGTCAAACGTACGACAATGGCCTGTTGCCACGATAGTGCCATTTAGTTTCCACGACATTTGGCAGGACGTCTATCATGGTCTGAAACAAATATGATCTAGGGAACGAACCTAAATCGAACCCCCTTACATAATGGTAAAATCACAGTCGTTTAAATTCCACATCTCGATAACAGAAGACAAAAACGTTAGAGGTTTCCTAGCACGGCCCTACGTTCATCCAATTGTCCTACATAAGGCCGATTCGGCCAGACGAATATTAGCCCAGCTGAAGAGTGCGTCAGCTGCATACTGACGCAACAGTATAATACCGTTGCTCGTTAAGCTGTTGGAAGCTGCACCGATAAACACGCCAAAGAATCTAACGGATGAAACAATTATTGATGTACAATTACTTTTGATGAGCTTTGGAGCCTGTCTATGTCGAAATAAGTTATTCGAACATAGCTAAGATATCGTCTTTAGATGAATGAATACTATGAAGACAATTAACACGTGTAACATCTAACGGTTTCGATACGTATAGCAGATGTAGAAACCAGAATATATATATATACATATATATATATATGTTCCTACATCTGCTATACCTATCGAAACCATTAGGTGTTATATGTGTATATATACATATATATATATATATATATATATAGTAGGTCAGTATTCGAGCAAACAACGTTAACCCGATAATCCAGTTTTGTCATTTCAAAATAGACGTCATCGACTGGCTGTGCACAAGACCACTAATCCCCCTTTTTATGTAGCCCTCTACTATGCAGACTCATCTCGCCCCAACCATCCAAACCATCAATCCGTTGACTGCAAATGTGTGAACAAATTTCTAAAGTACTGAAATAGTTATCCTTTTTATCTTGGTAATACTAACGAAGAGTGTCACTCGATTTTAGGTTTAGATTTGATTTTCAGTCGTTATCGCCAACGCCTGCTTCGAAAATTACGCGGCAACTGCGCTTCTAGTAGAAACTACTATCCTTCTATCGGCGTGCACGGAACGTTAAGTTGGTTCGAACAGCCATCTTTGCCAAGGCAGCCAGTCAGTGGTTTTCAATGTGACCACGTGATCTAAAACCCCGCCCCCCACGAGACGCATCAGCTGGCACGGGAGGCGGGGCTTCGACCGCTGAGGAAGATCGCTACGGCAAAGGACAGCTTTTGGCTAGCAAAGGCACATACACAGTTTATCTTTATGTTCATAGGTTGCATGGTTGCTTGCCTGCGGGTAGCTCCATTGCAGGGGGTTGCCCTTTATGGGTATCCCTGGGACTGGTTAGGACCTCGACTCATAGCAGCGAAGGACGACGGGCTCGTTCGGCCTGCTGCAATGGCTCCGCAAACCCTTCCACAAAAGGGCGCCCTGGAAGGAACTCTCCCTTGACTACGATCCAACGAAGAAACGGGGGGAGAGGGGGCAAAGTAGGAGGCCGAACAGGGAGGAAACCAAAGGTGGCGGTGCTAGTGGCGGCGGTAAATTTTTGGCGGCAAAATGTCATTTGCCACTTCCTTCCGTCGGGAAAGGAGTTCTCCGGTCTACGCACTGCTCTGGGGATCGCTACTTGTCCAGCTGCTGGCCAGGCGCTTTCCTCAACAAGGTCCTCTCTGCCTAACATGGAATCACAGAGCGGTGCAAGCGTTACCGGTAGCGAAGCCGATTTCCTCAAGAAATGGCACCCGTCATACCTGTACGGCCAACAGTCGTTACCGCAAAACGTTACCAGCAATAGCACGCAGCAAGCTCGCGCCTCGCAAGTTGGTAAGTAGCTGTGATTGGCCACACCAATGCTATAATCATTCACCATTTGACAGACAAAGCCATTGAACGAAAGACCAGCTAGCGAAATAACCTAGCGTAGAGTTCATCTCCACACTAGCGTACTCGCTGCTGTACCCATGCTTTTGACCTGCCACTAATGAGCCGGATTCCGAGAAGGTCTAGTTTGGTCTAGCTAAGAGTGGCAGTAGAAGTTGCTCTAGTAGTACTTTGATGTAATGATATTTAGCGGCAATTCCGGACGTAGCACTCGAGGCATTTACTTAGTAATCTCTATCATGGCCTGTCATTGGCACCACACCTCACAAAACGCGTCGTGCCATTGTCGGCAATGGCGTCCGAGCGGTTCGACTCCGGTCGACGCGTCCAGTGATAGTTGGAACTATAGCGCTCCGACGAGTTCGTTCCCAAGGGATCGTGCCGGAACCCGCTCTTCCGGATGAGGTTCCGGCAAGAGTCCGAAGGGCAGCCGCCGCTACCACCTCCGGTCTGACACGCCGGCTGGACTTGGCGACCCGGACTTGGAACCCGTTTCCTCCGGGTTTCCGGTCGAGTGTAACTCGCACAGGCTGTGCTACCGCTGCTGTTGTGAGTCGCGCGCGCTCTGGAGAGTCAAGCACGAAAGGCACGGAAAGATTATCTTCGTCGACAGCTGACTTAGATGTCTGAGCGGCTATTTCCTTGGTTAGCCTCTCTCGAAATGGAAGCAATGTAACCAAAAACGTGCGTCGTTGACTCTACGTCCGCCGCGAATAATCTTACGGCCTGACGGCCGTACGCCCTTCGCCATTAATTAAGCGTCGTGATGAGATGAAAGTGCCTCTTGTTCACTACAACTAGGATATTGGTGTGTTAGCATTGTGCTTGCGTTATTCATTTGTGCCAGTTAATTGCATCAGGCCTGATGGCTAGGACAATGGATTAAGTGAAGCTTGAAAAAATGATAGCTCCCAAACATGAGATTCACCGGAATGCATTTAAGTAAATATCTATTAAAGGGGCATTTATGGTGAGAGCTGAGACTTGTCAAAGTGAGACGGTCTTCTCCTAAGAAGTTAGAATATTTTACTTGCTTTACTCTAGAGCGTTTGGTTTGACTCGATTAGCGTGAGCAGAAACAGTACCTGATCCTAAGTCGTTGGACTGAAAAGTTGCACATTAAAATGCAGCGGTATATAAAAAAAGGCCCAGGATCCTTTCTGATCCGATACCACTCAAATTCGAAGTTAGCTTGCCAGAATAAAAACATCATTACGCAGTATATGTGGAGAACAACTTAACAACCGGCTTTTGTGTTTGTTCATACCTGTTTATTCTGATACAGTGATATGTAACTAGCGTCGCCAATGTTCGACGTATCCACAATAGAGAGGAAATTTTCCATTCTGAGAGGCTGGCAGGATAATTGAAATTCATCACAAACTAAATCACGTAGGTACGTTGAGGGGGTACGTGTGAATAGAAGGGCTTGGTGATCAAAATCGGTTGAGAATTCCGGAACAGATAGACTTTGACGGTGTGTATAATATTATGTTGAATTGAATTTGTATAGAAACAATGACGTTTGAGGGGGACCATTTACAATGAAGTACTTGTTTAGGTAAAACTCGCAGCTGTTCGTGGCCGTTGTCTTTTAATCGGTGATAATTGTGTGTGTGTGCGTGCGTGTATATTTATACCAAGAAGAGATGTTCCTGGAGAAAGAAATCTTTATTAACTTCCCTTTGTCGGTCAGGAATACCTCGCTCCTGCATGCTATGATTGTCTCTCGAATATTTTGGAACCATGTGAAAATGGAGATTGACAGAGCCGTAAGTATTACAGTCTAGATACAGTAAGTTTATCAAGTCTTTTATACCGCACTGGCTACAAGCAGGAAAAAATTCCTGATATATATACATATATAAAATGCATTTGGTAGTCGTGATATATGATTCAACACTAAGCCTTAGCAAATCGTATGCTATGATACAATGCTTTCATCTATTAGTGTGTAAAGTGTCCAAGGGATACCCATAGCTGGAACTTGTGAGACACTTTAGACCAAGGACTGGCCAGGACCCAAAGAACGATGAATGAGGGTTAGAAATTCAATTACTTATCTTCTCGAACTACGATACTTTCTATCGTTTTCTCAAAAACAGAAACGAAGCCATTAACAGATGTTTTTCTATCAGTATCAGCAAAACACGATTCGTGATAGGCACGCGATTTACATAGGGTGGTAGAATTTTCGTACCTATTGAAAATCATTCCGGAACCCGCATAAACAGCCAAGATCTCTGCTTATCCGATCTGGGTCTTCGGAAAGTGCCTACATATGGGTTGGTATTACTTTTTTTTTATCATAATGCCATTACATTTCGTTAAATAGAAATATGGATTCTACGTTCATCTGACGTGTAGTTGAGCCTAATAGTGAACTCACTTCAAATATATACACATGTCTTCTGGAAATTCTGTACCAAGATCTCCTATTAAAATCTATTTCTGTAATCGCAAATAAGCTTTCGATAAACCGAAATCGATGAGTCTTGGAGGTTTTTGTATTCCACTGCAGCTGGCGTCTATGACATCTAGCGCACTACATTACATTGGTGACAATGCGCGTTTTACGGGATCTGCGGGAACACAGTTGAGATTTAGCCAGTATAAAATGTTGAATATTTGCGGGTTACAGATATTTCAATTACTTGGTTAGAGATCTCAAAGACGAGCCATAAAATCAAACACAGGCAGCTTTTACAGCTTCGGCTTTTGTTCTATCCATTGGATTTGCCTTACACACCGATAAGTACCAATTACTGACCCGATACATACGACGGGTAGCCTATGCGATGTTATTGTTAAATAAATTTAAAAAAAAATGTATAGTGTGTATTGAGACGATGATTCTCCAAGCACTTTTTATCACCGTTCGACGGAGATAATTTTCTGTTACACGCGAAACCTGACGAAAACAAGCGACACGCCGCTTAATACAGTGGTCTCCTTCGTTAGTGGTGTCATAGGTCATATTCTCCTTTAGCATACTGAATTAAAAAAAATTAACTCTGGTCCTGAAAAACGTAAGTCATAGATTGCGTTTATTGAAGTTTGTTTTTAATATATATATATTATGTATATAATTTCCATAAGTCGTTATTGGTTTGTTATTTTTGTGAAGGAACTCTGACTGATCTCGTGTGTTGCATATTGATGTTGGAGGTTATGGATCTTTGCTGACGAATACTAAAAAAGCCTCGAAATTTATGGAATTTCTCAAAATCTCTATGACTACTCAGGCATTTCCTTTTCAATCTAACAATGTCGAACCGAAAAACACATTTCAGACAGGAAGCCTTTGTTTTTGCACTCACGAATAGTGCGATAAGCACGGAAGGTATTGTGCTGCTCAGAAAGCGACAACACTGCACACACATATAGTATGTACATATATATTTAGTACTAGTAAATACATTCACAAACTTAGGCTACAAGTACATCTATATATTTCTAGTATATTTTGTGACGGATCTGAACTGCATGACCAAATGTTCAGCCCTCAACGATATCCAAGTTTGCCGCATTGGTTTGGGAAGTAGTCTACTTGAGATCGCCAACACTTTAGGGTGGTTGTCGAAACCGTACCTGCGAATTTGTAAAATCTAAGAATTTGTCGAGATCGAAAGTCCTTGGCAGGCAGATACCTTTACCACTACATGATTTTTAAGCCAATGTTTTTTTTAGACCAAGATTTTAAAGGCCAATAAAGCTTGGTTTGTTACGCTTGCTTAGGTATAAAGGTGAACTATCTCGGCATTTAAGAAAAAAAAGCAATTCAAGGTGTAGTTAACATTGATAATCAAAGGATTAGGCCCGAACAGAGTGGGGTAAGAAATTGTGTCACGTCTATGGAGGTGATAGCCCCGAGTAATTGTCGTGCGTCATTGTTTATTTTCTCTTGAGGGTATTTGGACGCTTCAGCCCATTAACAGTCCACGAGACTCAGTTTTTTGTAATTAGAGGTTCCGCTTCGGAATTCAAATTGGAAGCCTGTGCATCGACCTGGACCACGGATAACAGACGAGCGAAGTATTTAGCACTATATTAGAGCACTATGCACTATATAATAACAGTTAGGCCTTCCGGGTTTATTTGGATTGTTTCAGATGACACCGAAAGAGAGTCGCGAACGGATCCTAGAAGCGGTGAAGGTAATGCGTACCCTCGTGGATAGTCTATCCATCTCCTAGTCCAATATGGATAGTGTTTTTGGATATCGAAATCGACTGGCTGATAATTCAGCAGAGTCCATTTGAGCACAACAACTAAGTGTTAAAAATGCACCAGTAGTTTTACATAAGCAATGGACATGTGCTAAGCGGTGGTGCACTCACCATCACTAACACAGTCCATCGTCATTAACAAAACTCTCGAATTTTATTTCAGATTCATTATATATGCTCAAATCTGCACGAAATTTCACTCAAGCAAGTAAGTGCTACGAATACGTTGGATTTCATAGCCGAGGCTAACGCATATAATTGACAGTATATATTACAGTAAAATATTCTTCAATCGATGGTCCCCTTGAGGTCCTCGAGTCGATCGAAGTATACGTAAAGGTGCTAGATATCTAGTCAACCACAAGGAAGTGGCAAGTACTATGGTAACTAAAATGACGCGTTCTCAGTTGGCATATTCAAAAAGTACTACATGACCGCAAGGAAAAACTGGCTGTCGTGCACGTGGGAACAATCAAAGAAGCCACACGGGCAGGTTACGTGCCCCTAGATTCAAACATCATGTTGCTTCGGAGTGTATATTCATGCATGTTTACGTGCGCATCGAGCTGATTCGAGTTCTGTTGCGGTATATTGAAAAATATGCGTTAACGTAACCGATAGACTGCTGTAGGAAAGATCGAGTCATGCCAGATCGGAGTCTTCGATTTTCGAGGTTCTCTACGAAAAGCATAACCTTTGCAATCTAATGACGTTTGAAATGATATCGTCATTGGTGCTGTCCGTTCCGGAAACACTGGTATTTCCTAATAAAGACCTACGAAAAAAAATGCAGAGCGATTAGGACGGTAGAAATTTTTAAGCGACAGACATGATCTAAAAAAATTGATGACACCATGACGTACAGTACAGTCGCGGAAAAAAAGGAAGCAAAAGACAGTTACGAACAAATATAACCGAGATAAAGGGCAGACGCCCCTAACGATTTATTCCGTACGCTATCAAATGAGCATCGTCGCTTCTAGCGTACGATACATATAGACCGAAATTACAATGTTTTGTTATCAGTCACGATCTTCGCTGTTATCGATATAATTTATACATATCCAGTTTGGCATGTGTGAGCTCTCCAGTTAGCAGTGGTTCAACCGTTTCTAATTTAATGGGTGTACTAAAATCAAGATAGAGAAAAAAAAGGCTCTGCGCTCGTTAAAAATCACCATGGTGAGCACGTGGCTTGGAGATCGGCCAGACGACGACGACGACGACGACGACACCCACCGCATAAGTCTTCAAAGGTGGTGACTCTACGTACTCGAGCGGTTTTTTCGAATGAAAATTTTGAATATCTATCTATTTAGACCACGACCGTGTTCGATGCTAGTCATTAGATTAGACGACATTATGAACCTACCTTTTAGGTTACGTCACAACGTATTTTCTTTCGACGCTTCTCCCGCAGCGGGATTTAGCGATCGAAATAGCTGGCTTTCCCATAATTTGCGATACCGAAACGCCGAGATTCGCTAGACCAACTTGTGTTGCAATGTAATCTCAATGCGTTATTTGCCATAGCCAGCAGAGCGCCTAATTTAAAAAAAAAACATCAGATTTTATAAGCTCGATCTTAGTCGAAGGTGTGAATGTATTACCTTCTTTCACACACAAACTTAATCTAACGACCTGTACCACAGATAAAAAATGATCCTAAATCGAAATGCAGTGCTTCATAAAGCAAGAGTTATTCCTCAACCGGATTAACTTGGACTAGACCGACACAACTCACGCGATTAGAACTGCCACGTGGGAAACGATATATGCTGGGCTGCCTGCCAGGCCACCTCTTCTATAGAATAGTCGTTGTCTGGACGCGTCGCGACTACCCGGATGGTGATCCCTAGTGACAGGAAAACGAACTCTTAATGTGCTCCCTGCTGTGTTAAAGCCGTATTTATAGATGGGTACGGGATGCTAGCAGTGGCAGGAAAGGAGCATCTTAAGTGTTGGGCGAGGGTAAACCAGCGGTTCAGTGTCTCCCTCAATGGCTACGCGCGCTTACTTGTTTTCGATAGAGTACTTTGCGGCCACGCTGCCCCAAACTGGGTTTTGCGTAGGGCAGGGAACTTCTTCCGGCAAAACCTCTCGGACAGAAGTGTGTGATTATAACGTTCAAGGAAGTGGGTAAATAGTGGGAAAGCGGTAGGAAGCGATTATGTGGGATACTAAGATATAGTAATGGAGGCGACCGTCGCATTCATCAATAACGTCCGATGCAACTCTTATATATGAAGACCGACAGTAGTCCATTGTAGATCGCAAACGTCGTCTCTAAGCGCGATGATTGTAAGGGTGACATATTCTTTACCTCTAAAAAGCTGTATTAAACGTTAGGCGCTTACAAGCATTTAATTGAATTAGCCGAAGGTCGTTTTCGAAGCTTCATGACGGAGCGTATTGTAGGGACTCTTATTGTACGCGATATTTTAAATTGATCAATATGATTCATTAGACCTGTCGGATATCTGAAGAAGTTCGGGACACAACAAATACTTGTTATAGGACTTGTACAGGTGATCGGTATCGCTACTGTCAGGTTTTCCACAGTTGAATTCAAATTAATAATACCAATTTAGGGCAAAACGCAGCCCTCTGTCGAGTCGAAGGCGTCGTGCGTAGACCAAAAGCGTATCAATCTCTATAGAGTGACTCGTCTAATGATCTCAGCTATGAGACCCTCCTACTACTTAATGATACGAAAATTATTCCGCTATTAGAAAAGTAATTTTTTAATTTAAGAAATGATTTGCAAAGTAGTCAATTTTAGTTTTAAAAATACATCGTATATCCGATTAGTGGCGTCGATTAGTTCTATATGAAGAATTAATCAATATACGATAAAATCGTGTTTTCCTGCTGAAAAACCCAATACTACTACTGAAAAACGACTAGTCGCATCATTTGATAAGGAACGTTGTATCAATATAGAACACTTGGCAGGTTAACATTCTTCAGCTGTCGCTATAAAAGCATCAAGGTGAGCGCGTCTCTTGGCCGTACCCGAACGTGCGATGCAGATGAAGGATTAACTCAGAAGCACGATGTCAGCTCCCTACCCCCGAGATCCATGGTCGAGCCCCAGAGGATTGCTCCTCGTCGACAGACGGAAGTCTTTTCTATGCGGCATCTACGTCTGCCCCTAGGGGACTCTTAGCCTGCTTCTGCCCAGTCTAGCCAGTCAAGCTCTTTTCACTAGCGTATTGCTTAGGCTTTTCTCGCTTGTGCTACACTATATGGCTGTGGTATCAAGTCCGCAAGCCATGTTGACTATAGAGGCAGTTTCTCAAACCCTTGTCGGATGCGATAGCAGTCACGCAGAGATGTCACGTCGTGCATATGTGATTTCACACTAGCGACAACAGACAGCCAGCAGGGCTGCAGGTCATTTCTTTCGCCCGCTTCGGAGTAATCTCTCGGACGAGACTGGATAGAGGCGGCACGCTAACCATAGACCGCGGCAGTAATAGTATATTAAGATAATCACAATGATAATAATAATAATACCTCTTGTATATAGTCGTAATGGAATAGCGGTACGCGTATGGGCACGGCGGCATTAGGAATTGAATAGATAGAGCCTCATTAGGTATTCTATCAGGAGTAGGATATAAACGGCGCTATCACCGAGTGCGTAGAGAAGAAGGCCGTAGCAGCGATCTGATTGTGGAGTCGTGTATGTACTCATGCTCGAAGAAACATAAACAGCGTATAGATACATCAATGAAATGACATCAAACTTCCTTACCACGTGCTATGTGTGGCAACTCTGAAATTTAGCAAGCCTCATTCCGATGCTGCTTAAAGCATTCTTACAACCATATAAGTGTAACGAGTAAGATTTTCCCATGGATTTCGTCCATGGTTGCATGCTAAAATCTAAAAGGACGCGCAGTTACATGGTTCAGCGAAATCAGACTCGGCATCCTTTAAGTAGATCGCAGTAACGTAGAGCAACTACGACGAGACACGTATAAGGTCGCAGCTAGTATAACCCTACATGCCTGTTCTTTGAAAAGGATTATTCAACGTACAAAAAACAGCGCATCTGGGGCATTCTATAGAATACGCTCAGCGAGCTCATTCTTGTTAAGTTCTGCTTCAATGTCTCTGGATAGAAAGGTAATGAAATAATAAAGCCACAAGTTTAATACCTCCTATAAATCTAAAATATTCATAAAAATATTACAGGACGCATTATGATGCAAAGAAGCCAAAGTTCGAGGTAATTTACTTTACAGGCGGCGGAGCACACGTTTCTGGAGGGTTAGGTAGTGGCGCCCCAGTATCTGGCGGTCAAATCCAGTTGTGGCAATTTCTTCTTGAACTGCTCTCAGATCCTCCATCGCATGGCCACTGTATAGCATGGGAAGGTCAAAACGGAGAGTTCAAGCTAACAGACCCCGACGAAGTCGCACGTCGCTGGGGTGAACGAAAGTCCAAGCCCAATATGAATTACGACAAATTGTCTCGCGCACTGAGGTAGGCCTATACGCAGACCCGTACTGTACCATTGCATCGATCCAAAAACGTAAATAATAGTTTAAACTCTGCGTAATGTACTAATCATCACTTTCTTACACAAAGCTTTACAAACGACTCTTGCTAGGCTTTCTTTGGTACCTCGGAAAAGCAGAAATGCTGACTCTTTGCCATGTTTCGAGAACGAGCCAGACTCCTTCGACGTCTATGTCGAATTTCAAATCCAGATATCTGCATAAAAGTGGTTCCATCTATTGTTTTTTTAAAAAAAAAAAGCATATTTTCCTTATTTTTAACTTTAAAACGAATTTGTTATCGATTTGCTGTAATTAAAAACAAAAACCTGGTTCGGATCAACAACAGCAAACAGACTGAAATCACTGAGCTATCGGTTGTTCATAATAATGAATACGTTTTAGACCATAAACATGTACTACCATGCATTAATATTTTACAGATATTATTATGACAAAAACATCATGTCGAAGGTTCACGGAAAGCGCTACGCTTATAAATTCGACTTCGCTGGCCTCTCGGCGGCCCAACAACAGCAGTCCCTTCAGGGCGCTCCAAGTTTAGGTACACGCACTGCTGGGGATTATCGCCTTCATCATGCAGGTGACTTCTTCCTCACCCCCCAGGTCTACCCGCCTGGATCAACCGGCAGAAAACTATCGTCTATGGATTTCTCGTCAGGTGAGCCTATATATATATATATATATATATATATATGCGTGTTGTTAGATAATGTCATGGATGTACGCATTGAACTGCAAGATACATTAGACTGTTTCCATGGCTCTTATTTATGTTGCTGCGTAGCTTTTTGTTATCAACAAAACTTACTAACAAAAGTCACTATTCTCACAACAGGTGGATATTGGACTTCTGCTGGAAGCACTTGCCAGCCATATCGGGGCACACCACATGTGCAGTATTCGTGTGCAATGTAAAATGTCATACCTCTTGGCAGGAGCGGACCTTTTCAAGTGATTATACGTAGCGATAGCCACGAAGGATATGTATGTTGAGATTTTTTCATTAAGGTCATTTTTATCAGTGCAAATATGTTGACTCAACTGTTTATCTCACTACCCGCGTTGCTTCATCTCAACTATAGAAGATGGATAGGACTGACATGAGAAATAAAGACCAGACTTTACGAAACTCAGCGTAGTTGTTCTTACAACAAGGTGCCGAAATGAGTTTTATGTAGCCCGAACTAACATTCTTATGTTCTCAACATGTGGATCTATATCTATTCTGAGTAAGTAGTAGTTTCACAACAGGATAAAAGCTAAGTAAATATTCAGTGTCGAAAATACCCCAGCGCATAGTTATCAAGTGAGAGCATAGGTTTTTTCTCGAACGAAAAAAGCGTATGCTTTTCGCTGATGACTGTAATTCCAGAAGCTTTGTTTTTGCCCCATATCGTCCATTCCACACTGACCACTTGTTGTTACGAACATGCTCTCTTGCTCGCAGCCAATGGTTGTACATAACAGCCAATGATGATTGTTATAGTATCATTAATTCCTGCCGGCCGATATAAACAGCGGATGAACATTTTGATGATTTTATGAAATACGTCTAATAAATGAGTTACGAGCGATGTAATGAATTCGTATGGTGGCACTGAGTTGATATACGTGTTGTTAAATCATGGACAATTCCGAACCTAGTGGACCTTATGCATTGATACTTCATGGCAGAGGGATCGATAGTCATACTGCACAACCAAAATAAATTTGCTATCGACTAATCCCAATCAAGTAAAAAGCTTTTGCGAAGAGTCCCTAACCATAATTTACGCAGCTAACGTCAGTCTTGGCTGAACGGAAAAACACTCCAGCACGAATCAATAAAGGAAAGGTCGAATGGGCTCTGCCTGATCTGATTCGCGACTGAATTGGAAGGTTCCGACTTCGTCACTTCGTGCTGCGGAGCCAGCCGTCTAATAGAATGCAAAACTACAATACCGAACGTACAGTTCGGAAACATAGCTATAGCAGGACGATAAGGCATTACTACGGTTTAAGCACCGTTTTCCTGTTTGGGACTGCAACCGCTTTTGGGCTGCAGTGCAGATACCCGCGGTAGCTTTTATCAGTGGTCGCTGTCAATCAAGGTTATCGCTACATTAACGCCTAATATTTTTGTTCTTAGGTACTGGTGTTTCTATATGAGAAGGTCGTTGCTCAATGTTGCTGAGTCTCAACGCGATTCTCTTTGGCGGTGTTGTTTGGAACGGCGTTGGTTAGTGATTCGCCGGATGATACTATTTTGTATTTCCATGCGCTGCAGAAGCCTACTTTTTTTTGACTGCCACCACGAGTAGAAGTAGTTAAATCAATGGCCGATTCCTCCTCTGCCATATGGCAAGAGGTTTAAGAAACACGACTGCCACCTCACCGGCTTCGTCGTTTGTGATTTTTGCTGCACATCGTTTACTCGTATATATGTATATATATATATATATATATATATATATATATATATATATATATTATTTTTAATTTTTTAATAATGTAATGTTTATAAGCCTATTCAGCAATAGAAAGCTTACTGTTTTTTTACACGTATCTGAAAAGTGCGTATAGATAACAATGGAAGTAAATTAAATTTTTAACCTCCGATTCACGAAATGACTACAAAAATAACTTGAGAAAAATTCCTCATTAATTGGTCATTAATGTGCACTCATTCATATTTCATTTGTAGCTGTTAGAACATTCTGCATTTGGCTTTTAACAAAAAGCTCTGAGCATTTTCGTTAAGGATATATCTTTTTGTAAAAATTCGTAGCCCGATAATCACGAAAAGTGAGAAATATTTATTTCTTCCAAACATGTGTATCTATCAAAGCTGCACAAGACAGCTACCTTCCTTGAAGTTCGCCAAATTCAGGTAATTTGTTTGTTTGGATCAAGTATAATTTCTTTAGTTGTCCGCACATCATAACAATTAGAAGTTAGATTTCGCATTCCACGTATCCAATTCGTAGTGCCATAAATATGTGTGAATGTTATAACTGTGAAAATAGCGGTCTTATACGACCTCCTGACCTTCTGATACCCCCTCCTCCGTCCGAACCGTATGTGTAATAAAAGAAAACATCTCAAGTTGCACCGCCATATATTTTCTCAGATTATTCATTAGCAAAACATCATAATAACTTACCTCAAATTTAGCATATATATATATATATATATATATATATATATATATAGTAGTGAACAATATTGGCCCGATCTTTCCAGAGCTGTCGTTTAATCATTTTCAGTGTTTCGCCAAGGTTAGCATCATATCGGCTACCCTCTCCATTCATGTTACAACCAGAACTGATGCCAGCTATAGCTAGAGTTCGTAGCTGTCTGCTGTTGTGTTTATTGTTTAAACCTAGCCAGCACGCTGTATAGAGTATGTTTGTCCTGTGTATTCGGAATCCTGTCGACTTTCTAAACCCGTCTGTTATTGTTAAGGGTTAGATTTATGTCTGTGTTGAAACTAATTCTATACAAACTTGATTGTTGATATAGACAAAAGGAAGAGCAAAGAATGAAGTGCCATTACGAGGTTCTTAACGTCAAAAAAGATGCGGATGACAATGAGCTGAAAGTAGCCTATCGAAAACTTGCGCTAAAATGGCATCCAGGTATGTCAAATAGTCCGTTGTAGTTACCTTCTTATATGTTCACTTATTTCAAAGAACCATACTTGCTCTAGGAATAGTGGTATGATTTGCTAACTTATATATATATATATATATCTTAGTATGAATAAAGGTATTCTTTGTAATACAATTCTGAAAAGCTAAATATATTACTGAGCTAAAATAATGTACTTTATAAAAATAGTTGTTCAGAATTTGCTCGTACACCGTAATTCGCACGCTAAGAATAAATATACAGGAGCCACTATTGTTTCATGGCACGTGTTAGTGGACCCGTTTCTGTTGTCTAAATTGAGTTCAAAACCCATAGAGCGAACTTGGGCTTTACATTATATAGCCTAGAATAAGCCACTAAAAAAGATTATAAATTGGGATCGGTCGAATGAATTCAAGCTGAACACAGTTGGAAAACTTCGTACTATTTGATTTTTCTCTAAGCAGTGGAAAAAATTGTGTAATTTAATAAACATTTAACCGAATTCGCTCGAGAAACGCTATATTGTAACGGCTATTCTCGTTATGCATTATTTCTTGGTATGCTATTTTTTATCGTGTCGTATTTGCAGACAAAAATCCGCACAATATAACCGAAGCTACGGAAACCTTCAAACTAATACAGCAGGCGTACGAGGTTCTATCCAATCCAGAGGACAGAGCTTTCTATGACAAGCACCGTGATAGCATGCTGAAACGCAGAGATGAGGCGGAAAATGAGCATTTCCTAGACGTGTACCAATATTTTACTGCTTCATGTTACAACGGCTTCAATGATCACATTGATGTAATAGTATTATTATAATTTTATCTGAAAATAGGACGAATTCTACGGAAAACAGATGTTTTTTTTTAAATTCAAATCTAGACGTTTCATATTAAGAAATTGTTATGAATTACAGTGTAGACTAAGTGGATTCAAAAGTGGGAGCTTCAGGGTCGATACATGAATGAAATATAGAGAACAAGGAGCACCTTGGTAACGATATGCGGGCATTGGAAGTTTTATCAAGAGAGAAGCTAAAAGTAAAAGGGTTCATTTAATGATAATTAATATCTCTATACTTTCAGATATAGATATTAATTGCTTGCATGGACTCGGAATATTTGTAGTATACAACGTTTTCTAATGACGATGTATTATACAATAACTTTATTTATATGTAGAATATCTTTAAGGATATTATTCCTGTTGAACATCATACCAAAACAGGTTTACTAGCAGTCAGTAACAAATGAGCATTCATTGTGTACTGTCGATTCTACCCAGGGCTTCTACTCAGTGTATAGAAAAGTATTTGAAACAATTGCGGATCAGGAAGCACCATATGTCAACGATGAATTGGAATTTGCATGTTTTGGCGACAGCAAGTCGTCGTACAAAGATGTTGTGCGACCATTCTACCAGTTCTGGGAGGCGTTCCGCACAGGGCTAAATTTCGAATGGTTACAAGAACACGAACACTGCAAAGAATACGGCCGGAAAGGCAACCGTTACATTATGAGGGAGAACCAGAAGATTCGCGACGCTGCCAGGAAGGAACGGAACGAGCAGATTCGGGTAACATTTGTTTATATTTTCCTTTCCTGCTCTCGCGCTCGAAATTTCTCAGACTCGGACGAAATTTTTTTTGTGTGTGTGAAAAACCACATTGTTTTTCGTGCGAGCGTAGATTCAAAACTAACTTAGAAGCTATAGGGTACTCCGAGTTTACAAGTATTACTTCCATATACACATAATGCGGTACATATTGAATGCTGTGCAAATAATTAAAATTCGTTGATCTGCAATTATGATGGGATAATACTTACCAGGCTGTGCAGTAAATAATGGTCTGCTGTGTGCTCCCTTCCACAGGGTCTAGTGGCTTTTGTAAAAAAGCGGGATCGTCGGGTTAAGCTTTACCTTGCGAAATTAGAAAAAGAACAAGATGAACGTAATAAAGCACAACAACAGAAACGAAAACAGGAGAAAATGGAAAAACTTAGAAAAATGGAAAAGTACAAGGTCAGTAATGGTGGTACAGACCCCCAGTTTTATTAACTAGTACTAATTTGGTGCCATACTAATTTGTCACTGCAATTTCTGTTTATGTGGAATCTGTGTCTATGGCAACTTAGGCATTGTCATGTTGTCTGCATTAACAACAATCTTGTTAGTGATAAATATCAAGCGCTGAACGCGCCACGACAAGAATTTAATCATAAGACCTGTAGTAAAGATTATGTGAATTTTTCAGAATATTTGATGTTGTCAAATGAAGTCCACTAAATGAGTAATATTGAACGTCATTTTCCAGGAAGCAGAATGGATATGGCCTGAGCAGATCGAAAAGCAGTTAGCTGAACTTGAATTAGAGCACGAACAAAGTGTCGAGGAGCAAGATCCACTTTTCTGTATCCCCTGCGATAAGGCCTTTATGTCAATAAAATCGTAAGTTCATTTGGAAACAGACTACCAGATATTGATAACAATTACTACATTAATAACAAAAAAGTGCATGTTACGCTTTGTTCCGTACAGCTCGTTTATATATTGCGTTGTCAGGTAAGAAACTTCAAAAACCGAATTGCAGCTCTGCGTATTTTTTGGTAAATAAAAGCCTTCTGCTTTAAATTGGAGCATATACACATATTATCAATAAACTGTCGTCATTCTAACAGCAGCTTAGTGTTCAGTTAGTATAATGCGAACATGAGGCTCAATGGTTTGGATGAAGATGGCTTTTTATATTCTTGTGGTCTCAAATACTTTTTTCCTCTAAAAAGCTGCGATAATGTGGCTAGACCTGGTTAGTATTCGGGCTGATTTTGAGCTTCTAATTTCTTTATTCTTTCCGTCATGATTCTCGTAAGGCATACCTTTTCCATTCCCCAGGTATTCTATTTGTTACCTTTCTTTTTAATTTGCCGCTTCATATGATACTCATATAAGTTTGCAAATACACCTATCAAACAAGTTAAAGTTTCACTGGCTTTCATTGAGACTTTCAACCGCTGAAGCTCTTGTTACCGTATAAGTAGATTCGATTAAATCTTTGATTCACTAAATCTAATGTTTAAATATTTATGATTAGTAGCATATAATTTTTATCTTATAGAAAAAAGACTTAACCTTTAAGTTTTCTTGTTTGGCATGTTGTGTATTAATTTGTTTTTGTTTATAGCTCTATTCCATTTATGCACTTTTTTAAATAGATTTTAATCTTACTCAAGACAAACGCTTGGTATAAGACGATGTTTTTTCCCAACACTTTATACAAAAAAAAAGCAAAAGAGTGAAAAAAGAAGATGCCAATTTTTCGTTAAGGGAGAACTAACCGTAAAGTATAAAATAAGTTTTGTTAAAATATATTTAATTCGTTCGTCGGTTGATTGCATATTGGCCAACAGGTAAGAAAAAAGGATTGAAGCCAATCGGTGCGTTTCACGCTGTTGATTGAGTACCCTGTTGTATTAGTTCTTTCACATGCAAAGCTGACGCTTATGGTGATTCCTTTCAAGGTATGAAAATCATGTGCGCTCGAAAAGGCATAAGAAAAACGAGGCATTGTTAAAGGACCTGATCGAAGAAGAAGAAAAAGCTTTCAACAGGTGTGACAATGCCTGCTCAAATGGCGAAGTTGAAATTAACGATGATAGTGCAGAGCAGAACCATTATTCAGACGAACCCGAAGATCGTGATGACACTAAAAACGATGCCGAGGTTAGTGGACTTTCCAAACTAGATCTTAGCGAGAGAAGGGAATTACGCTTTAGGGGGCTCTGGTTCGGATTCGGAAATGCGCGCATAAACATGTGGGTCCAGTGCACTTTTCTGATTTAGCATCAAACTGAAAATTTTCGGTAAAAATATCTTTTGGCTAAAAATCTATTTGATATGGCTCGGTGGGCCGTACCATTTATCAGGTTTATTTAGGTAAGGATGAGGCCAACATTTGATTCATACTATCGTCAAAAATACCCGAGGCCACGGAAAAGAAGAAGGTGAATATAGCAGTATATTCGTTAAACATTTTTTCAATATTCTGGCTGAAACGGACTTCTCACAACTTATTCATTCTTGACAAAATGTCGATGGAAGGCATCTATGTCGTTGACTCACATAATTCCAGAGGGCGAAATTATTGTTAATAATTTCGTGCGAAAAGGTCAGTCATTTTCACAAAGGGAAAAACCTTATCGTTTTAGAAAAAACTGTGATGATTGCCAGAGAAGGCGATGCTTTATGGTAACTTATGACAAGATAGGCAGACTAAAAACTGAAAAAAAGGTGAAGACTGGTTTTGAATGGCCCATATACAGGTGCATACAGAGTCGCATTCTGTTCGAGAAGTGAGGCAGTAACAACAAACAACAACGATAACAACAACAACAACAACAAGGAACGGCACCGTTCTCTAAAACCAACCTTCGCACTGAAGCCTTTATAATTATTGCGTATATGCTTAATTCTGGCATAAATAATTATACATGTAATCTATAATCTTGACTATCTGCAGTATAGCGCATATATGGATAATATTGGCCTAATCCTACAGTGGGTTATAACAATAAAGTCGCCAAAGTGTCTCAAAGGTAGCCACATATAATACGGTGTTGCGGTACCACATTCGTGCAACGCGTGCGTGAATAATACGCCTTAACCTTGAAGCAGTCATAATTCTCCAGCACCTTACCCCATATAGCCATCCCACGTAAAATAATTTAATGCAGTGACTTTTTTAAAATGTAACTTGTTTTATTCAGTTTACTATTAAAAATATTGCCTTAAAACAGATAACACTGTTGCAGGAAAACGCGATACTTGTCTTGCTTTTCTATATTTCCACAAGAGTTTAATGACATGCGAAAAAAATACTGAGTTGTCCTGTATAACTCCACCTTTTGAAATTATCCAGTAAATGCTAATTGTACTAAATCTCTGATCTATTTAGAGCTAAAAAAAATGTGAAACTTTCATACAAATAAAACTTTGAATTGACGTGCTTTTGCTAAAAAATTGAGCGACCCATACATTTCCCATACATTACAAGAGTAAATTGAAATATAAACAATGGACAGAAGTGTAGTTGTTATGTCCGACGGTTGTTATATAAATATATACTATATACAATATACATATATATATATCCAAATTGTTAAGAAGATTCGATTTAATCTTAACTTCATATAAATGGAGTGTCTCAAAAGAATGTATACATTAATTCGATCGGACTGTTATCTTGACAGTACAATGGCTCGTGCCAATTAAATTAGTTTAATGTAAGAACATGTTTTATTACGCGATTCGGACGACTTTTGTAAAAATGACTAGTTTTATTTCTAACATGTCGAAGCACTTGCACACTATAATGGTGACGTAAGAGCCCATTTTGATGATGGTCTTTTAAGCAGATGGGTTGCACGAAGAGGCGCCATGGAACAGCATGCTTGTTTCTTAGCTCTAGCATCAATGAACATGTTGCTCAACGGCAGAATTAACGATGCTAAAAAAGTATAAACCCACAATTGAGATTGTAAATCAATAGACTAAAATTATCAGTACTGTGTTGTCGAGTAGTACGGTAAAAGAAAAAGTTCTGTATGTAGTTTTTTTTTATGTAGATTCTTTTGCAATTTAGAATATTCATTATATGTAAAAAGAATAAAGCTATAATTATTTAAATTATATATTTATTTTTTGGGACATCGTGTATATGTATTTTATTTTTTTAAGTACAAGATAATTTTATGGTCAGGTAGACTAAATTATATATACATGCATGATTTGTGTAAAGTAAGGGGATCTATAATTTTCGATGTTTAAGATGGTATTCCGTTGATATTCGCAGGACAAGGGTCAGCCTGAGGCTCTAACAGAAACTTTTGAAGCAGACGGTACTTACGAGCCGGATGCTGGCGAGGGCGACAGTACGGCACCATTAGAGGAGAATCGGCGGAAAAATCGTAAGAATAGAAAGAAAAAGAAAAACGCGAAGATGTATACCACGGTTCAACAATAGTGTAACTGAAGGTACTTTATAATATATTAATCTCAATTTTAGTATTGAAATATTTTTAACATTATTAACATATTGATTGCACTGTGTTGTGCATACGAGAAAGAGCCTCTATAAAATATTACATTAATTACCACAGGGCTGTAATATTACAAACCCAAGGCCGTTTAAAGCCTTCCGGAAATCTCGCAGATTTGTACGTTTTGCTAATTTGATTTTCTCAAGTAATTATTACACTGTACGTATATATATATTATCATGTGATGGCTATTTTTGCAACTCTTCATTTGAATGACAAGAACACATTCCACGAGACGTAGATAAAAAAAAAATTATAAATAAAAAGCATGATAATCTTGTCTCTAAAATGCGCAATAGTCGTTTTATTTCTGTTTTATCCCCACCCGTTTCAACAGACACTTGTGAGGCATCCAAAGTTATTAGCGACTGGTTGGATTGAGCGTCGAAGAAGGAAGGTTTGAACCAAAGTGTGCCAGGAAGTTCGAGCATAGGACAGGATTTTGTTCAGAAGCCGGAACTCCCGGTAGATTTCAAGGCCAAGAAGAATAAGTATGGTGTCTGTTTATACCTATTATATTGTGCCTGCTTTTTTTATTAGTGTTTACTTGGGCAATAGGCCCTTATGAGATAACTAACTGGGAGCTTAGTAATTACCTGCAAAAGCAATTTAATATAATCAAGCCTTATCTTGCTTTACTTGATGATTGATTCCTGCTCAACATTGAAAATAAATATATCAAGGAGGTAAATGACTGTTGGAAACCTTTGAGCTTTTTAGATGTAATGATATATTGTTAATATACTGCTCTATTTCTCAAGGAAGATTGTTTAGTATTCTTAACGGCAGTATCAGACGTCGTGCGAATACAGGTAATTCCAGTTTACCGGTCGTTAACATAAACGAAAAAGTACCTTTTTGCTAAATTATCGATAGTGTCCGTTTCCTGAAACCGCTAAAACGGCTCACAACTTCCATGTGCCGACAAGATTGCTTACTGTTGTGACATACATAATTACAGAATTTTTCACTTATTAGGTGCGCAGTTAAAGCTTTAGTTCCGCTGAGGTTTGTTTTTTATATCGATAAAATACGCTGCTTTTTTGCTTTGAGCGCAAATACGTCTAGTAGTTACTTTTTCCACATATATAATACCCGCGAACCAATGTTTCACATTTACGTCCAGGTCCTGCAAAAATGCATGAAATACTTATGGAGACGACAAGGACAGGAAAGTCCAGCTGCAACCGATGAAAAGCGCATTATGTAATATATGCTGGACAAAATGTTCGAAAATCTAAAAAGAACTGGTTACGCACAGTCTTTCGAAAACAGAGAAGTAAACCTCCACGATAAGAGACCTAACTAGCTAAACGCAATATAAAAGAAAAACTTATACTTTTTGAATGATAGTCTGCTTGACTGATTGAGTATTAGAAACTGCAACGGGCCTGGGCCGCTAACTGTCACCTTTAATTAGAATTTTTTTGTTTTTTTTGGAAGCTACCTGAGTCGCTAGAGACTCCTTCCAGCATAAATCAATAGCAAGTATGTATTCCTCACGTTATTTTGTTGGACTAATGTAGGAATGAGTATTAATTAATCATTGGCAAGGCGATATGATAATTTCGTGTAGGTATAAAGGAATGGAGAATACCTATTTGGCATTGAACATTAGGTACTTGCAAAATTGTTGGTGTTATAGCATACGTGACCAACCAGATGGCCGAGCGGCACTGTAAATAAACTAATATTATAACTAATAGAAAATGTGTTTCATTAAGCTAAACAAGGAGAACATGCATTAATGTCGATGTTATTTTATAGGGTGTTCGTAACTCAGGCGACTCTTCGTGGCATAGTGACGAAGTCAGGTCTGTAACGGGTTTTATAATTCAACAGTTTTCGTCTTAAAAAAAAATTGTGTATACTGTGATTATAGACAAAACAGTAACAAAGAATAAGTAATCTCTCCAGCGGAGTGATCATAGCGTACTATTATATTGTAAACGGTATGTTTTTCCAAGCTGAACAAAATCGAAAGGATATTGTATTTAAGATCTTAATGGTTGGTGAATCGCGTTTCAAAACAATAGACAAAACCCTATAGTATTAATATCTGCACCACCACCGGGTTTTGAGCGAGAACAACTAAAACAGAAACAAATATAAGATGTCGTTCGTGGTTAAAAGGCTATCAGTACAGATCCAGTGTAGGAAAAGGCGAAAAAATGAGTGAAGCTGCCTGATTTTTCAATTATATAAAAACAAGACTATCAATTGTCACTGTTCCACCATTGCCGATCGTATACAGTACAATACGTTTCATATTTAGTATGTTGTAACGTGGCCTGGAATCTGTATCTACCATTGCGGATAAAGAATCTTTCGAACAAAAAAAATTTTTGAAAAATAGATAGTTACAGAAGCACACATGTAAAGATCTTATCACAGCCTACCGGCATAAATCAGTCTTGTTGGTAGCCTCTTGTTACCTTTGTGTAGGGCTAGCCTTTTCCAAAGATGCCAAACTTCTTTTTAAGTAAGATGCGTAATGCGCATTATATTAAAAAATATATGTGTTGATAACCAGCAAATTCGCACTCGAAAGTTGTATGTCAAATTTAAGCGTCAACTAAGTAAACCTTACATATTCCGTAAAGCATTTGCTAGGGGACATGTCATAACTTGGAACGCATAGCAGTATCCACTAAATCGATTTTATTTAACAGGAAAGCGTGTACCTCTTTCGAGCCATCGACCTTTAATTTCTTTTTTGAATAAATCATATCTTACCATTGTCTTAATTATAGTATATCGTGTCATATTAACTGGTCAAGTTGCTAATAAACTGATATACCTGCACCTACTATATATTTCGTCAAGAGGCAGGCGGTCTGTGTTTTGATATGGGAACTCAAAATTTTTGCTCCCTGAATTTCGCCTTCGCTAAGCGGAACACTTTTTGCTTGAGTTTCCATCTCGATTTATTCCACCAGCCCAAATGCCCTACTCGTCTGTCTACAACTTTTCTTTGCCACTGAACTCGCCGAGTCATTCACAGTTTCACCGGCTTCATGTGCACGGCTACGCTGCCTATCGCACAGAGAATTCTGTACTCTGCGTTCTTCTTTTACTCGCATAGACGTGCTTACAATTATGATCCACTGACATGTGCTTTATACAGCCTTCCGTACAGTGTAAACCACTTGCTGGCACTGATGATCGCATAAAGCCTGTCATTGTAGAAAGCAGAATATGTTGTACATCATCTACTAGAGAAACTGAAAATGATTTTTCAGCACTACTTTCTACTCTGCAGTTACTGCTTGAGAGTATACCACAGCAACCGGTGGACCATCAAGACTTATCATGCGCACTAATACAGACACATCTCTATTACTGCATGCAAAGTTGGCATAGCGGTATCAAGAAATAATACGCGATCCAATATCTAACAAACGTACAAATTTGATTGATATTTATGAAATTGTCTCGTGGTTTCTTCACCTACTAAAAACGCACGGTTTTACTTGAACCCAAACGACTACTTCGCCATAGCCCATTATGAACATCAGACTTCAGTTATAAAGAATATTGGTTCTCTTTGGGCAATATCATTATTAAACAAGTTTACCGTTGTATTTCAGCGTTTTCAATAGCATCTTTGTTCAGAGAACTCCCAATCAACTTTTACAAACTTTGTACCGGTGACAAAATGGACAGTTCATGGAATTGTTTCAAAACGTGGCCATTACGAAGGAAGTGTTAGTGGATGCTGTTCTAGGCTGCCTCAATGGCGCTTGGCTAGGTTTCTTTAACACTTGTTGAATCTCGAATGGTCTGACTTCCTGAAATTAGCGAAGAATCAATATGATGGCAAATATGATGTTGAAGACTAGTTGGAACTAACAGAAAATACGCGCGAACTACGATGTCGCCACCCTTTCAGTGACGTTAATCTATCGTGTACAAAAAATGGGAACAAAAGAACACTTTGCAATACCGAAATTGCGAATATTCACTGATTAGAACACTACTGTGGTACAAACATTAGGTTTCACATCAGGTTTGGTAATGTTTATTATACATAATTTTATAAACATTTGACTATTTACTAATCAAGTCAAACGAATTGTTTTAACAGATAACAAGTCCTTCTGGAGGTAGTCTTAACGCCAGTACTACTGGTAAGACCTTATTACGTGGGAAAAAAGTTGCTAAAACTAAATACTGAAGATCCATCAACCATGTGATCTATGGCCAAAAGAATTTAGGCTTGTTGTTGTGTGTGTAGAAATTTTCCGAAGTTCCCTTCCTTACTTCATGGCAGGAATAAACATTCTGAGACGCTCATACCCACCGCATAATTATTTCCCATAAGGAGAATCATACACTATCAGTATGAAAATCAAGCAGGCCTGATTGCACAGGACGCATGTGTCGCACACTCTAATAAAATGTGACTAAAGTTAAGAATGATAATCTCATACACCTGTATCGACACAAACCTAAAATTGCTGATGCCAATAGCTCGTTTGCGAAGCTTAAACTGCATGTATGACTGTTTTCTCAGACAGGATTCTATAATCGAATTCTATCTGCCACGAATAAAAAAGATTCTCAAAGGGTAAGTTGTTCGACTTTAAAGAATTTATTTACAAATAAACGCCACGTATGACAAGAGATATTTCCCTGCTGTAGTTAAAGAAAATTACAGTGGTGGTATAATATGAATTAGACTTTAGATTCAGCCGGTTATGTTTGAGCTTTTTTTGGCTTGTTTCGCTGAAGTTTGAACTTTTAAATGAAAACGGTGTTGTTGATTGTTCGAAGAGATCCGTTGTTTTTGATCTTTAAATAATCAGATACATTATCGATAGAACTTGTGTGCTATGAACAGGACGACTTACTGAACATTCAAAAGATTTCGCAGATTTATCGACTTTTTTATTACTATGATTGGCTTGCTGAACTGCTTCTACATATAGAGAGGGTAGGACAACCCCGATGCCCAACTAGAAGAAGCCAGCGGAAGACTAAGTTCTGTCCGTAGATCAATAAAGTAATAAATATGTTGTTTAATAGAGCGGATTACCGTTGAAACATGAACAGCAGTGCACGGTTACTTTAGAGCCAAGGTGCTTCATTAATTCTGTTTCAAACGTACTTATTAGTACCACTTATTCAACTAAATTCATTAGGCTTACCGTGATTCACCTACGTTCTTCAATACGTTGATAGGCAGTTTGTTGTCCACAAGTGCACTTTGTCTTTCATATGTCTGCGCAAACAAACATTGGGGCGGAATTCAGCCTCCAAGTCTGATCAATCGGCCAAATAAATACGAAAGAGCTGAAATTTTTATAAAGTAGCTTTTAGCCCTAGACCAAATTACGGCCTGGAGTGGTTCGCGCCCATTTGACAGCACGAGCGTCCCACTTAACAGCTCATATTGTCAAATGGCATTAACAACTCGAGTTAAATTACGTCTTGGTAGGTATGCCCACATCTTTACGTACCCTTGACTCACATAAGAAAAAAATAGTAGTCAAATGTATGCCATTTTAACGAGAGCGTACGCATTAGGTTTGTTTTCATTTGTCGGCTTGTTTTAAACGGATTGTTTCCGATTCGGGCGTCACATGTGGAACGTTTGTTAGGCTAAAACATACGCTGTCTATGATCAAATCAAAGCATCTGTACTGTCATTATTAGAAGAGGACTGTCCGGACCTAGACAAAGAGACGATGAAAAAAAAATTAAGGAACTGATCTAACTGATTTGATGCGTAAACTGTGACGTCAACAAATAGGCATTTTACAGTTCGACTGCATGTCGACAGACTGGGCGAAATATCGCCGGAACAACCAACTCCAGAGATTCACATCTGACCTCACAGGTATAAGAAGAGAGCGTGTTTCCTTAGTTAAATTGGAGAACAATTTTGTTCTAGTTGCATGTCGGGACGTGTGGCGGTACACGACAGCACTAATGGTTGTTAATTTAGTTAGACATCAGAATAGCATCAAACCGATAAATTAGTCTTTTTCGTAGTCGTATAATATTATCTGATACGATTCTATGGATCGATTTGTTTCTTGGTAGTTACATCCTGTTGCCATATTGTAAGCATCCACACTACCATTTAGCTGCCAAAGCAACAAACATTCGTGGGCGTTGTATAATCTGGACGAAACGATTTAGAACTACGAATTTGATCGATCATTAATGTGAGAGGTTTTTATTGCAACCAGAAAAACGGCTTCCGATACAAATAACAAACAAGTAGACCCAGCTGAAATATTGCGACTGGCTTGTCTGAACGGCTTGGTACCATCTACACCCTGTTGCACTCAGAAGCCAGTTGTTCAAGATATCGGACTCTACAGTTATTATTCATAACAAATACAAACATACAAATAGTCCCACTTGCCATGTCAGCAGTCACCGGCTTAGTCCACCAATAGGTTATTAAAATCGTATATTAGTAACAAATGCCTCCAATGATCTTCATAAATAAACATGCTCGTCATTGAAATATATGCTGTTCAGCCTTAGCGACTCGTCAGTCGATGTCTTTGACTGCTCGATTTATTCCAAGAAATGGTCCAAGGGTCACTGAAGCGACACAGCAGACGACGACAACAACGGCCTTTCGAAATCCCGCCTAAACCACAGCTTAAAAACTAGCCGATCGGCTTATTCAAATATGGAGAATAACAAACTGGTATTAGGGCCAGGTATGCCGTGTATGGTGATGAAAGCGAACATTATGAAGACGCGGTCACACAGGAAGGATTAAACTTATCCATGAATCTGATTGATGAAATCTAATTTGCTTTTGGGTTTGTCGAATGAAAATGCATGATCAAAAATTTAATGAAAGGACAATGGCGCTAAGACACGGCTAATTTAAAGGTCCAAGATATTTGATGAACACGATGTAGATAATTAATATTCATAGAAGTCATTCAGTCTTCATGTCCTCTTTGTACTAATTTGTTTAGATCTATTATTTTATAGCAGCACGAGATTACTCTAAACACACGTTCCCAATATGTATCCCTTTATGCCTTAGTCCAAAAATGCAGAACATTAAACTGGCCAGGCCTAGGTGAGGGCGGCATTGTTCGTCTAATCAGTGAACCAGTTCCAACGAAACAATGTTACTGTTAGTTTAGATTTAGGTCACGATGGATAAGCTACCATTCAGTCTATGGGGAGGGGGGCAATGCTAGCCCTAGTTTACCGATTATATCTTAAACTGGATTTAAATGTAAAGCAATGTAATTAATACTGGAGATGTTCGTCAAAAAGGATCAAAACCTCATCACCCGGCTCTAAGCCGTTGACCCGGCCGTTGACTTAGTTACTAAAATTAACTAATGTTTTTTGTATCTCATTTTCAGAGTTTAAGATGGGACAACAATTCCTGGTGCCTTTGACCCTTAGCTTAACTTCTACGCCAAACTGCTAAGCTGTCTCACGGTCGACTTACTGATGTAAGCAGGCTGGTTCCTTTTCTTCTTCGTGCATGATATCTATAACAATTTCATCCAACCTTTAGCAATGAAATTGATCTTGTACACTGCATTATATTTTTACTCCTTGACTGTGCATATAAAGTATACCGATGTATCAAAAGGTTATTTTCCACCGCGATTATTCGTTAAATATTATATCGATTCTGCATTTAGGCAAGGGAGTTTATCATGCGACTGAACGCTGACCGACATGTTTGGGGGCTCTGCTAAACGAGCTTGGCCTGAAAGAGTGCTACATTGTTCAGGTTCAATGCACTTCGTGATTGTGAAATGTAATTATATCAGGCCACGAACGAATAACAGTTCTTACCAATAATATTATATATCTGAAAATGAATCCTAATCCTAACCTTGTTAAGGGTCACCACTGAAGGTAGACTTGGATAGCCAAAAGAAGTATTGTTATTAACACAATTTGTCTATTAACAACTCAGCGTCAATTAAGTAAATTTTAAGGTTTTACGATGCAATACCAATACGTCAATCAAGCCTAACCTATAGGATGTTTCTAGTTTCTTTGTAACGGTAGATAAGCGCATAATTGACCAAACAAAACATATTTGCTCTGAGTGTCTGCACTTGAATTTTTTCTATAACGAGCATAAATGGATATTATTGTTAAGTTTGACAGTGAGGTGCTCATCATGCCCCAGGGTGAGCAACGGCAGAACTAACCTAGGAAACGACCTAAGTATCAATATGATCCTAAAATTTCTATTCAGCAGGTAACCAAAGTATTTGTATATTATTAAACATTATGAGAAGAAGTGTTCTATTCATTTGCGGCTAACAAATACCAATAAAATGAATTTGCTCGCTTACACATTATTTACAAGTTTTTTATTTTAATTTTTTAAAAGTCTCACGATTCCATTTATGACTAGTAATTAATCCATTTAACTTCTGGCAAGTTGAATTTGGCAGCAGTGGGTTACCGAATCTTCTTCGGGGCATAAATGTGCTTAAAGTTTGTGTAATCTACCAGGTAGGTTGTCGACGACGTACACCGCCGACGATGGCCACGAGGAAATTGTTTGGCCAAATCAGATTTTTGATACATGAAATTATGACGAAGTCGTGTCATGCGGTAGCCAGACTGCAGGTTTTTTACGTTAGCAACGATATCCCTTCGAGATGAGATCAATGCCGTTGATGTGCTCTTAATTAAGTCTCTTAATCTGGTTAAATTCTTATTGTGGACTTAGGAAAACAGTGTATGGACGAAAAAAACTGCGGACTAGCTAAAATAATTGCTAGAGTAAGGATAATAAAATTCGTGTGGCAAATGTCTAGTGGTTCACATATGGGCTTTTAAAGTTGTCAAGTTCTTTATTCATACTGATTATCTCGAAAACGGCAAGTTAACAGGAACTTGGGTATAAGAGTTTCGTATGTTTTCGGAGCCATCCACTAGGACGAAAACGAATATCGATCTTAATTTTTATTAATTATTATTTATTTAATTATTATTATATCTTAACGATTTAAATGATACGACTCTATATACAAAAGTATATGTTGCCAAACTAATCGGGATTATTTGTAAGTGTGGTATCTCCTATGCTTTTATAGGGCTTTCATTGAAACTTATGGCAGTATGGCGAACATGAAAGCTGTTGACTAGTGCTTTCTAAGTTTCGATACATGCGTTATTATTGTCTCCCTTCAATATGCCCATAAACCTAGCCCTGGCTAAAAGCTCAGCTTTGGCCTTGAAAACCCATGCGATTTTAGTACTTGCTGATAACTCTTATAAGAATACAATGCCATCAAGGTAAATACATTTATGCAAAGTCTATCAGTTTGGAGACGCTAGAATTCAAGCCAACTTTTCAGTGGACGTTGTTGTAATGTAACGACCTTGTTTTATATATCCCGTCTTCCCACTTTAACTATTCGTACTACCTGAAAGAAGATATTCATTCAATTAAAGGATACTAACCACATACTGAAATAATTTACATTTCATTAACCCTATTGTAAATCAATCAAATTAACATCGCCCATCTAACGGAATTAGTGCCGCGGAATTTCAAAAAGAAAAGTTCCAACAAATTGACTGTGACGGTATAGATGCACAATCCAACTATAGTTTAAATGAAATCTGTTTATAGTAGAACAGGCTGATGAAGTAACTGACAAAATGTAACGGCTTTGGTAACGCACAACAACTGCAAGGGAGTAATTGTTGGTGTGTACTATAGTTTGGCTGGCCATAACAAATTATCTAAATCAATGGCAAAACAGACGCGAGACTGTCCAGTTTTACCAGAGTAAAAAGGCAGTTCTCAAGAACTAAACTCTAAAGCCCATCAGCTAATTAGAGAAGAGGCTAAGTTGACATTTTCTGCTAATTATTCACGTCTTTTGTCTGGCACTTTTCCATTTATTTATATTTCAATTTTAACTTTATTACCTCCGAAAGCTGAACGTACCAGCTTCGAGCTGTGACATGAGACCACTATTATTATTATTAATGTAAGAGGACCTATTTCTAGGCGCATAAGATGTTCATCTCTAAACCCAAAAAGTCATCACATGCCTATAAAGTTCAAGGGGCGATAAAACGTACCTAGCCGTCCCAATTGACCTCAGTCAAAGGCCACCTCGTACGCACTTCATATCCAAGAAAACCATTTAAGATATCTGTTGCAGCGGCAATGGTTAATGAAAACCATGGGCAGACTTCTGAGTAATTCGTCTAATTTTCAGTCTAAATATTGATAAGCAAAGCGGCCAGCTAAAATTTCTTGGGCAGAGGTGTGCGTAAAATCTAGAAGTAGCATAGGCTTTTATAATGATTTAGGTGGCCACTGGTGCCTTAATGGCTATTGGTGTCATTCTCTGTAAACAGCTATAAACAGTACGCTAGTCTCAACGATGCCGATGGAGGGTAGTCCCCACGTACGAGAAAGAGCCTGATAAATATTATATCGTCAAAATGGTGGAAGGTAAGATAGTAATGAAGGTAATGGCCAAGAGGAATACGACACAATAACTCACCTCTATGCAGCCCTGCAGTCTAATAGCGAGATACTCGTTTATCCGCTTAATTTTTGAAATCGTCATTGCCGAACTGTATTTGTGTCAGTAAATACATGTGAATTAATTTGCCATCAAAGTACACGTGTGTATATCATACTAAATAAGCTAAGTCAACAATTGAACACTATAAGAAGCGTACGTAAGGACGCTTTGTTGGTGGTTTTAGCGGGCATCAAATACCATCATCATTTCTTAACACCTTTGTCAGGGTGTCATATACAAGTAATACATAGGATCATAGTCCTACGTCATAGTCATAACGTTTGTGATCGTGCCAACTCACCGAAAATAGAGGCTGCCGGATTCGACAATGGACATTCGTAGATGACACATCACGATAACTGGATACAATGTACAAATAGCACGTATACCATGTATGAATATCATTGATATGATTCAATTTTGTGAATAGAAGAAGGTAAGCTGTTATACACTAAAGACTGTATACTGCCACAAGTCGGTCAGAGAGCGTTCGTTTTTTGTGTGCTGGATATTGACGAAGGACAATAGCTGCATGTTGCTTTTTTCCCCATTTCCCCCCAGACCGAGTCAGGTCCCGATGTGTCGATAATGTCAGCATTTTTGCTTGGTCTTCGACAAACACTGGCGTGCATGGATAGGAAACTAAGCCCATCGTTGGTCGGAGGGACACCTTACACAGTCGCATTCGAATTGTAGGTGTCAAAACGCTGATGTTTACATGACGGACACGTTACAGAGGGCTAATCAAAATGTTGTACTATGGTAGTGCCCTGTTTGGCTAGTTTTCGCCCAGTAACAATGTCGGTTAAAGCCTCAAATAGCAGTATCTATTTGAATTATAACAGAATTAAAAGCAACCACTCGTAAAAACCACGTTCAGCTGCGTTATGCGTAGCATTAACGCTACAGAATGTTTTAGGTGAGCCTTCATGCAGTTGGAGAAACTTGGTAAGTTACCTTTCTATTTGCCAACCCATTTCCGTTAGTGCAAGTTTTCGGCGAGTGGATAGTACAGGAAGGTGCATTATAAAATTCACTTGTGTACAGCTATTTATATTCTGTGATCATACTATAGCTAAATCTACGTAACATTTGAAAAAAATTGCGTCGTTTCAATTGAAAACTTCAAACGGATGTTACATTTTTTTAAAATTTAATTTGCCACAACTCCACTTTTCTTCCAGATGTTTTTGTGTTTACCCAAATACAAGAATCGCGTTAGATGAAGGATTTTATTTAGATAGCCGAAAAGACGAAGCACGAGCTTCGCTCAGGTCTCACGTATATAGTCAGTAAAGAATGATTTCGGTTCCTAGGCTGCTTGCCTTTCGATTCTTATCAAAGATACGCAAATTTTTATGGCGAAACCACCAGTTGTCAGAGGACGACGTTGCTAAGTTAGTCGAAGAGAGCCGGCTACATGAACATGTTATTCAAAAATGGCATGAAGAATTCCTTGAGCTTTTTCCGCGAGGAGTTGCCTCTAGGGAGGAATTCTGTAATACTGTGACGAAGGTGAGATCTTACACGTACGAAAAGCCCAGTGTGTTCCATGGCACGAAAAAATGGGCACCGCATCCAGCTACATAGGTAAAACGCATCGTTGTATCGGGTACCTTATGCAGCAGAGCAATTATTCGGAAATAGCGTGTTGTTTTTTTGGTCACTTTTTTTCTCTTTTTCTTCAAGGATTTATGTGTGATGTTCGTACTGATAGTTGTTACAGTGTGACTTGAGTTCAGACCCAAGGCCGTTGCTAAACCGTATATTTACATATATTGTGCGAATGCCGGAAGTCATGCCGTCGCCTAGACCAACAAAAAGATCCCGAGGTCGTGAAGCGAAGCTCAGAGGAAGAGCCGTAACAGAAGACTCCGACACGGAGCTTTTCGATAGTGTATTTTTTACCAAAAATGTTTCGTCAAGAGATTCAGACAGCAACAAATACGTATCGTCCAGAACGGTCACGGGATCTTTATTGGCGGACGCGTGCCGTTGCGAGCGGGGAGGATCGCCGTTATCAAGGGCAACAACAACAACAACGATGCCAATCGATGCAAACACCGATGAATCAGAAGTGACCTTCCCGCAACTTGTTTGTTTTCTAGCTATGCCCCTTGTGGGATATACGGACAAAAAACTTGAGTGGGCGTTCGACGTTCTTGCTTATCACCATGCGTAGGTGTTGTCTAGTATTTATTGTATTTTTCTGGTTAGTTGTTGCTGATTTACTGCGTTGTGAAATCATCTCAAGCACGGTTTGTCGACTAGCGTATCTTTGCGTTCCGTGGAGAAAACCAAGAGCTGACTTGTAAACTAGTTGCTAGCAACAACTGCAGTCGCGGTTTAATTATAGACGACAGCTGCACTGCCTTATATTCCCATATAACTTTAACGATATCGAGCGCTCGAAAATATGGAAATGTCCAAGTTTCGTATTTAAATGCATCACATACGTTTGATTGAGTGTAACCTATTCGTTGTACGCCTGATTGTGCCTGAAAGTATTCCACGCCTGATTGTGCCTGAAAGTATTCCGCGCCTGTTACAGATTCATTCATTGGGAGGAGTTCAAGAAGACCTTAATTATGATTCGGAAAATGCGCGGCGCGGAGCTCAAGGATGCTGAAGATGGAATTCGTCAAGCGTTTGATAAAATGGCAGAAGGCCGGGGTGTGATAGATAAAGCCCGGTTTAGGTGAAGTTTTTGTTGCATGTTCGGCGGTGATATAAACCTTTCGGTAGTACGTTCCATCGGAAATTGGCTAAAGCAATTACTAGTAACGTGCAATTGCAATCATGTACCTTAATCGATCTCATATGACAATCTGGACATTCAACATGCCCGGCCGTCACAGTCTATAATTTCTGTCCAACTATTGCGTAATAATTATCTGTATTTATTAAAATGGCTTAATTTGTACACAGGCAATTCATGTATTCGAACCCGAAACTCATACGAGGAATCGCTAGAAACTACACCTGCATGATGGCTTCTCCGGGCCGGATTATAAACATATCGTAACTATTTAGACAACCGGAACGAGTTTTGCAATAGAAAGTAATGTTTCGTCTGACAATTTGTTTAAACGAAGTTGTTTTTGACAATAAATCTTACCTATTTCCCTTGGATCCCTCGGGAGCTGCTCTAGAATCTATACATTCGTATATTTTGAATTGATTATATACGATCTGGTAAACATTCGCTTTTAAAAATCCATGATATTTAGGAGAACGTCCAAGGTCATCAAGGATAATGTCTGTTCGTTACTGATGTTCATCTAGATCAGCTGCCCTACCTCAGCTGACTGCATCATTTAAACAGCCTTTGGGTCTCAGTCAGTCACAGTTAGATTCATTTGTACTTGCTTGCACCCCGTCCATGATATTCGTTTTAGCACTTATACCGCGATAAACTTGTATGCAGGACTGCAATATAATCATGCTGTATCATAAAAGAAATAATGGCGAAAAAAACTCTTGCGATGCCTAAGCATTAGCTTAAGTTAATTCAGGCGCAATGCGATACTGCCGCTAACAGTGCTATGCCCTTATAACGTAAGTCACTGTGGCAACAAAATACTCTATTTAGGATAGACCAAATAGATATGCGCGGAATGAGAACTTGTTTGCGGAACAGGCCTAGTAGTGCGAATAAGCTTTTCATGGCTATTTGTGTGCTTGTAAACTGAATCATCTTTTTTTAAGCCTACCTTTTGTGCGCATGCGCCTTCGGATTTTCGAGGATGATTGTATTATTTAGCACGTTAGCATAACTTTCATAATTTTGTTTACAAGCACCACCACCTGTTCGGTGAACCTTTCAAGGTAGTGCAAGGGCTATAGCTTCAACGAGTTTTATAGCTGATACGAAATTATCTATAGGTCTCCATTTGAATCTGATACGCTTGATAATGTCGCTTTGACATGTAAATATACCTAAAAACTCCATTTAGACAATCTGAAATTTGCAGTATTTCATCACTCATGTTGCTGGTGCTCCCTAATCCTAATAACAATAGACGATACGAGGGCTCAACAACGATTTGAACCAGTGAATCTTGGCCGTTATTTGAGGACTGTGACCTCGATCAATAGTTAATTCCGTTGTTGCATAGACAGGTAACACTACTGCCGAATAGGTTTGACTGGGACGCCCCAATTACGTCAGCCTGTTCCATATCCTATACGTGCCTTATTCCGTTAGTCGGCAGCACACTTCACCTAGGACTCGCGCCAACTGATTCAGTCGGCGGGATTAAGGACATCTAAAAAGCCTACATAGGGTTCGGCCGCTGCTTTGGGCGTGGCGTCGTTGAACCATACCCGTTAGTGATTGAAAGTTTGCACCGGCGTTGTCAATCATATTCAGCTTGAAAGCGATATTCTAAACGATATAATAGACTTTGGCTGATTCCTGCTTTTGCCATGATATTTGTGAGGCGGACTCTAACAACGTTAAGAAAAGCCGATCATGGGGTTGAGGCTCAGCGGCGACGGATCGATCGGATTAGGAGAAACTGAAGGGAGTGTTAGAGAAAGAAGGATAGGCTAAATCGAAGAAAGTCTTAAACGAGCACAGCTAAACAGACGCTAGTGATTCTGTATCCGCCGGTAATCGCGGACTTCGCCACTATTGCTTGTTTATACAGCCACGTTTGTACATCTTGTGAGTGCGTTTGTGACCCTTTAGATTCTAGTCTGGTTGTGAATATAGGCTGCGGTTACATGTAGTTTGTGTTGTAATAAAACGAGCAGGCTGATCACCGAAACATCCACACGATATGTCCGAGCTAGCTAGATCCCGATTTGAACATTGTGCTGGCAAATGAAATAATAGCTTGTAGGTGGTAGAGTTTCATTTTCGACCGCTGTCGAGATCATAGGCAAGCTGCCGATTCAACGTACTATTTGTTGAGTGTTCCAATAGTGTGGGTTGTCCGTGAGCGGTTCTAACTTTTGGAAATAATGGCCCTCGGTGAAAATCGAAATAGAACAAGTAATGTTTATATCAGCAAGAATGGAGTACGCATATATTCTCGAAATATCAACTCGACAGGAAGCTCAGGTGAGACGTCTGACAAAAGTTCTGATCTAAATCAGAAGCTTGGTTCACCTCCACTCCAAGATAGCAAGGTAAGCTGCATTGGTTTGGCGCACTACTACCCTTAAACGCTGCTGTATAAAGGGTGACAACTAGGTTGGTGTATAGTTGATCTCTATTTAATAAGCTGGTGTGTTCTTTTGATCAAGCCGGAAGTTTTTTTTTCTTTCATTCAATCTTGAGGCCTGTAGTCAACAGAAAATTTATAATAGACAACAAGGACAAAAAAACATCGAAATTACTAAGTAGTTTGTTTGTAAGTACTAAGTAGTTGTGGAAAACCGAGTGCGCAGTAACGATTTTACACTCCTTCTATGTTATCCACTTTTGCTATACGTATAATCTGACGATTTCCAGTTAAACTGCTCAATTAATTTCCTTTAATTTCTTCTGGCTTAATACGTATCCGTATAATAGCATTATATCAAAATTTTTACGTTTATACGATATGTTGGTACGGCGAAATTTCGATTGTATTTTAAATGAATTAAGTTTAGCTGAATGGGGAGTCAGCAACGCCACGAATCGTAGCTCTCAAACGACGCTTCATCAATATTCCTAGATGGGGTCGTCAACCGTTCTTGTTGCTAGCCTTCTGAGCACACGAGCAACAAATGATCTCGAAGATACTCACAGTAGATGAAATAAGAGGATGCAGCTTTAGAAAAATGCCCAACGTATACAACGTAATTAAACTGTAAATTCCTGGCTCAAAAAAAAAGACGTGCGCCGGTGCAAGCCTCACCAACGCGTTTATAGGATTTTATGCGTCGCCGGGCAACAACAACAAACAAACAGAGTATAAATAGGTAACAAGATACAGATAGATATAGACAGGTCGTTGGAAAGAGAAACTCGTGCAAAAATAATTTTCTTTCCCTCGTTTGCTGAATCCGATGGATGGATCGATCGAGCAAGGCATTTTCGGAATTTCTCCTATTATCTGTGCCATCCGGTGGCTACAGCGTACTAAAGTATCAACGCTGCTCGGCGTAGCGTTTATCAATATTTTTTAAAGCAAAAAATTATAACAAATCAAGATAAAGATACCACACCACACCACCAATCGCTCATCATTAAAGCCGTCAAAATCCGCACAATTTTCAAGCGGCAAACACATTACGGTAATGCTCGCATCAGCCAGATTGTTTGTACATACCATTTGTTATTTACTAACAAATCCTTACGAGAACACTCCTTGAGTTAACCACATTAAAACGTATTGAAAGTTCAGAAATAAAACATATATATCGTAATTGCTCTTGCTCTTAAGCAATGAGGCAGCAAACCACATGTCAAACGGTCTTCTTCTTGACAAATGGTCAGAGATATGCATAGATCAGAGGAAGACTGCCTAATATTTTTGGTTATCTGTTCCGACGATTTAGCAAAAGTTGTCAGGTAGATGGATTCTCTACGATCGTCCGAATTGGTTCCTTGCTAGTCATAGCTGAATTTTGACGAGCGACAAATAGGGGAACTGGGCACCAATGTGAGTTGTGCTCTATTATTAAATCAACAGTGACAAAGTTACCTTAACTAAAAGTGACTACCTACTACGTTTAACTGTACGTCAAAGTACGTTTTTGTCTTTTAGTTTAAATCAAGTGTTGCGTCTCCCGTTTGCTAAATAGCAGCACACTTGCTTCATAGAACGAAATGGTACGCTCGATTCTGAATGAGTAAGCCTAGAATCGATGTTATCGTATCAACTCATTGGTGCTGTTGGCGAACAGCGAGTGGCCTCAGGCGAACGGGTCAACTTAAATCCTTCTTGAAAAAGGGCCCCGCAATACGCAGTTATTATCATGTACCTGTCTCGAATAGCAGAGGATTAATTGCCTATTTACATTCAAGAATAAGATTATCGAATGCCGTTTTATCTAATTGACAATTTCGAACACACCCGGCGCGTCTGTCGCTGGTGTTTTTGTTTTTTTCGAAGATTTTCTTTTCTCACGTCGTGCATCCCTCACCCGTATGTATCTTCCATGCCACTCACTGCTTTGCCGTAGGACGGCGACAGACAACTGGCTCGGCGTCAGCAGGTTTCGAGCTAGACATGCTAATAGAACACCTTCATTCAGGTGAATTTACGCAGAGTTTATAAGCATACTGCCCTCTGTGATATTTTAGATTAACGGACGGTTGTTTTTGAGATAGTACAAACTCCGTTTGTACTGTCTCAAAAACCGATGACAACGGTCGATTTTAAGCCGCCTAATTAGATTTATCTTGAGTTCTAGAAAGATCGGAAATGGGCCAATGCTAATAAGAGAGATATTTTAACAATGTGGGTCAATTGAGGTTACTTATGAAAAACAGATAGAGACGTTAGCAAAATTTAGGTCATAGATTTTTTAATACTAACGCAATGATTTTCATTGTTATTTTAGCATTGCTTTAACAAGCTTTTCCCAGATCAGCTCAAGTGAACCGTTTTAAAATGAATTTAAAGGATATTAACGAGACTTTACATATACACGCATTATATAAACAGATGAAAAGTCATCGACTATTTTCGTTCTGAGAATTTTAACCCAGGGTTTTCCATCATGAACCCCCCTACCTTGTATGTGTTCAACAGATAAAATTCCTCCGATTCGTATCCTCAATATTGGTATAGCCAAGTTTAAAATGGTCTAGACTGATCTAATTCATCTAGCTTTACTCATCACTTAGATATCTGACAACTCTACAACTTGCTGTTTCGATCATAATAAGAACTGACCGTATAAAAACACTGATAAGCAGCTGACGCACCGTTAAACGATGATACATGTTCATGAGAAATGCCCAGCAACTCACTGAATACGTGATAGTGACGCTGGGCTGTATTACAACAAGTGGCCCCATTGAATAAAAACGGGGCGGGCGAAAGAGAAAGCGGGAATCAAAGAAATCGCATAGCGTTAACACTTCGATTACTTTGGGACAGATACGAGAATATAATTTTCTCGTATCTGTTCCAATGTACGTGTGTGGGTATATATATATATTGACTAGCTAGAACGATGCAGAGATGCTCCTGAATATTGTCTTTCTATCGACTTTATTCGATCTGTTGCGCCTCGGCTTCACTTTGTCGGGCGACATCAATGGCGAGGGGCAAAGTGTAGTGGGATGGGGCCGTCGTATACTGTAAGCAAATTGACAAAAAAAACCCCAAACAAGGAGTAAGACTTTGCCCAACTAGATATGTACGACGCTATCGAAAATGCCTGCGTTACGACACAGCGTGTTAATTACACCGTTGTTAGTTCAACTATTAGACTGGGCTGATACTGCCGCTTCGACCAATAATGTTTAACCCTGCTACATGGATTCATATACAATATTGGGGCATATTGGCGACTGTGGCGAAAATCGCGTGGCCAGAGGGCCCCATAATAGCAGTCGTTGTTCGACTAAAAATTTGCTATGAAGACTAAAACGCACCTCAAAGTGACTGAGGCTGCTGTTATTTTTGTGGTGAAGTATTGCCAACGCTGTTGTCGGACAAAGATGATGATGACTCCATCGTTAATGTAGATTCTAATTTGTAGCCGATGTGAGAACGCGTCTGCTTCGACGATGAGGTGCTGACAACAACAGAAATTTAACAGAAGCTTCAGACGCAACAGTAGCAGCAACAGAGTAGATCGAATGAAACCAACCTACACCCCTCCAGGTTACTCCTATTTGTTAATATTCGATGTATGCGCAGTTGAATTCTGTTCTAAAGCAGAAATACAAATAGTCCTAACCATAATTTGAAGGCTACCGTCTGTACAGTAAATAGTTGAATGCAGACGCTGCTGCTAAATGTCCTGCAAAGAAGAACATCAATGACATGCGTACACACGGTGTGAACGACACGGACGGCACATTTACGAAAAATAGTATATACATTAAGCCAACGCTGCATCTCAAGAATTGTTTGATGTCTGCCCTTGAGGCATGTTAGCTCCACGCGCGCTTCGTAACGTGCCATTGATCTAATGATGCTAATAGTGATGATAGTATTCGATGACACGGTTGTTTCTTCGGCTTTCAATTCACTCTTTACAGCCACGATCGGAGATATTGTCATTAGTTTCTAATGATTCTGCCATAGTTCACGATAGAACCTTTTTGAGAACATTGTAGCGTTGGCCCGTATCGACCTCAACGAACAAAAGCTATTCTCATAATAATAAATAACGAGCAAGATGTCGAAATCGGTTTGTCCGGCGTTCATCTATATATCTCTTTCTATTTGAAGACACAGCCATCGTTGTCACCACTGGGTGTATTCCCGTTTTCATCAAGTCTGCTTTTTCGTAGTCCAATCAAGTGAACAGGGCAGCTCAACCAGAGTTTCCAGCCTTATCCAGATAAAAACACTGCGTTGCTATTGCACAACTGCTAGAACGAATGCAGATTTTTTCGTTCAGACTTCACTTGCACCTAACTGCCGTTTCGTTTTCAAATCGATCTATACTATCTCTATATGTATCCCCACTCCTTCCTTTTTTGTGCTGTAGACGTCAAGTCTGTTTGCTTGACGAACTGCACGTCCAGACGCTTAGTCACGCGATTTACTAGAGTATCAGCCACGAGCGATGTCACGAGCTGCAGAAAAAGCAACACCAGCAGCGGAGGCGGCAAGCGCAATCATTGACCTCGGCTCAGATCAGACAGCCAGCCTGCCGATCTATCTACTGCTCACCAGTGTTGATATGTGCGTTTCTTTCATCTCCTTTCAGCCCGACTACCCCTCCCCCCCACCTCTCTTTCTCTCTCTCAGTATCGTCCGGCGCGCTCTAAATCTGCATAGTTCCTGAATTTAGATATAACAAGAGCCGGATTTCACTCGTTTACGAGAGAATTGCCCCTCAACCCCGTTCCCCCTGATGAGATACGCCTCTGCGCCACCTCTCTCTCTCTCTCTCTCTCAATATCGTCCGGTGCGCTCTAAATCTGCATAGTTCCTGAATTTAGATATAGCAAGAGCCGGATTTCACTCGTTTACAAGAGAATTGCCCCTCAACCCCGTTCCCCCTGATGAGATACGCCTCTCCGTGCATAACATCTAAAGGCTAGTGCATAGCAAACGGATAAAAATCGCAGGAAGTCACCGATTACGACAGTTGATCAGAGATCACAACAATAAAGAAGGGTTAAAAGTATGTGAAAATAGTTACTTTTTGCAGTAATGGCCGTATGAACGCTCCGCATCCGCTGTCGAGTCTGGCAGATGGAGACCGAGTTATTTGTTTGTAGGTAGAGTTTAGGGGTGCGCCGGATTTAAAGTTATAGTATTCGCTATTATCTATTAATAAAATATGACTTGCACCATATGATCGAAGCAACACCAGAAAAAGAGTTCGGTATCAGACTAATTAAAATCGAGCTGAACTGCATACAAAAATAAATAATATTCTGTGCTTTACGGGGACTGTTGGTATAACGCGTTGTATGTGCATGTGGATCGGCGGTTGATATTTTTGATCAGGCGATATTGGATGTGCGAGTTCGTTCGGTTGTCCTGAAAAATGGCGGTATATGTCCGTCTGAACTAGGCCGAACCCTCCCATCACTGCCAATACCAAGTTACGAAATTTCGTGAGGAGCAGTATCTTCACCTAGTGTGCTGTGGTCTTTCATCCCGTTGAAAAGATCTTTCCAATTTTGACATAGGCCTGGTGCATTCATGCTGACCATGCTGTAGAGGTACTTCTACTCGTTCAGTTCGGAGCCTGATTTACGAGCGGCCTGTCAGGTCGAAGCTTTTAGGTACGTTGTTTGAAGTATCACGTAGGTACTGACCCCAATAAGATTTCTTTAGTGACACTGCATTTCACGGCAAGTAACATTAGCTGGCTTCGTTAATCAACTGGGTCGTCCTTGACTAGAATAAGCGCCTCCGCTCTGCCCGGCCTATCGCGCACCCGTGCGGGCGTCTGCGGAGCCTGTTTTCCTTATTGCACTACGCAGGCGAGTATTATAAGCTTCGTAAAAAGTAGCAGCAGCTTCAGTGACCTGTCTGAGAGAGAAAACGATCGTTCCGACCGACTCTCCCATATCTTGTAGCGTAGTACATCGATGGTCCGGGAGAAAGATACTGCGAGAGCATTAGCTTTTACAGTCATTGTTTTAGTCACTTCCTTGTCGCCCGTATTTGGCTGTTTTTCATGAGCAAATTTGCGCGCTGTTCCACCGGCCGAGCAGTATAGGGCATTATCGTCCGGCTACCTTACCGTATCGCCAGTACTTTATTTGAGCTATTTCCACACATCCCCATTGATCAAGCTTACTTATTGCGATTTATTTGACATCAAACAGTCCTTGGTAATTTGGACCGAAGTATATAAATAAACGACATTTGGTTTTAACGCATCTTAGCATGTAAACCTGCTAAAAGAATACTAAATTTAAAAAAAAAAAGTGATTTTTATGTCTGATAACTGCGAAACAATTATTCTGTGGACCTAAATTACTCCTTAGTAGATGACGCTGTCTAGCCGGATATATTTGTTCAGCATTGGCTACTGAAGCCGTTGCGGTTCGCACCACATAGCAACAAGCCTGCGCGCTTCCCTTCCTTTTTTGTAGCTGTCTCAAGCTATATAATCCGTGAAATTAACCTTGTTGTGAAATATAGAAAGATCTGTCCATAAATACTGCATCTTGTTTTGGGCCTGAGAGGTGTCGCTACCCCATGTAGACACACTGGCCCACTGAGCGCATTTTCTCATAGTTCAAGAGGTACCTGTTCCTCCCGTAATGCAAACGACATCGCCGGAGCCCAAAGGCCCAAATAATTTAAAGCACTTATAAACTGTACTATTTCGACTGCTGGCATCTTTCTACCGGTACATATTTCTCATTGCCAATCTCGTTCTTGAAGGTTTTCAGGACCGCCATGCGGGCCAAACATCGGTATCATCATCGCGGGCCAATCCTAGCAGTTCTGTAGCAAACGCTTCTAACAGCCTGCCATAACTGGAGACTGAACTCGCTGACGCTTAGACCCTACGAGACGCGCAGCATCGAGTCGCTGTATAACACATTTAGACACACGCACACACAGATATACAGATGCGTCGAAGAAAGTTTCGTTGCCATTGCCAGCCGACTGCTGCCATCGCTTCAGCTACAGTTAAACCCACCACCGTCATCGCCGCCATTAGCGGGCCGCGGCTCGTCCGTAAGGAGCGCCACGATTCCGCTTCCATTCCGTTCCCTCTTGCCTCGTCTGAGCAGCCCTCGTCGTTGCCGCTGCCGCCATCATTGCCGCCGGCGGCTTCAGAACGTCTTGCAGCTTGCTGTTGTTACAGCCGCGGCCGCGTCGACGTCTGTATCTTGCCACAGTTTATCCTTTCCCTCATGGGTCATGCGGACGCCGGGTCAGAACCGAAAGTCGAAGTCTAAGCGTCGACAGCAGCACCAGCGATAATACCGCGACGTCTTCGACGTGTACCGTCTGTTGTTCTTGATTTGGTTTACGTTGTTCGTTTTTTACGTTCGGTAGTTGCCGGTTGGCTTGTTGCTTCGTTGGTCCGTTTGCTGTTCCCCCTGTTACAGCTGTAGTAGTTCTCGCCGTGCGTCTCCTGGCGGTGGGGTTTGTCATTACTATAACGGACCTGTGATTGTTAATCTTATTATTATTATTATTATTTACGGCCGTGATCGCTTGCAACAGTGCAACAATGGCTAGTCGTTAATTGATTAGTTATCGGTAATCAGTAGCGTGCGGAGATTTGATAGTGTCGATGCTAATGGTTGTAAATGTTCGATTGGCCAAACTAGCCACGACCCCCCGCTGCTGTGGTTACCAAAAATGACCGAAGAAGTTTAACTGCGAGCAACACCGAGTTCGCGTTGAAGCTAAGTGGGGGTCGATTTCTAGAGAGAGCTGCCCAGCTGTGCATTCTATCTCGCGTACGCTTCATGAATACGATCTTCGATAAACATGCAGGAAGAAAGCTTTTAAAGAGATCATACGGAAGCTGTACGGAAGATCCTTGTTGGATGGTTCGTGATAATTCGATATGCAAATAGTCTCTAGAAGTTGTGTCCGTATGTGATGAAGGTGTAACACCATCTAGCTTGTAACAGCTTTGTAGTGGTGCCATAACAATCGGAAAGCGCCTATGACCTCCTGCCATTATATGACGATGTAGCGCTCGAAAAGCCAAACCTGACATCGGTGGATCGCCCCTTCCGATGGTGAGACGTGTGCTTGGTTTTTTGTTTCTTACGGCTATTGGAATTCGTGTGCTCGTTGGAATGAGTGCCTGGAGAGATCTTCACGACCCACGTGAACAATCAGAGCCCCGTTATTTACGGTCCGGCGGCGCTTGGCAGCAGAGAAAGCAGTCAAAAGATGACATGCGGGATTATAGGGCCGTCGATAGGGAGTACAGCGCTCATCCAGCATCTCGCCTCTACAGGGGTTACCTCAATCCAGACTACACCGTACACTCGCTAGGAAAGGACCCTCCAGCTATTAAGGTAAAATAGTTTTTTTTCCAGTACTAGTAGCAGCGGTAGTCAATCGTCACACCCTTCGCTTTCTATAGGTCTTACAACGTGCGAATTTACAATGGGTGATGGCTGTTTGATGTAAACACTTTTACGGGGCATATGGAGAAAAATGCCACCTCAACCCAAGGACTCGCATCTGCAACCGAATGCATAGCTAGTGCGCAATTAATAATTCTGTCCTACGTACCGCGTTCCCTTCACCGAAAAGGACAGCGTAGTAGTAGTGTTGTCAAAAATGTTGGCATGAAGAAAATTCAATTGTCTACATTACGGGACAAATGTTACAGTTCTACTAATCTGTACGCACATTACGGGATTTAGAGCTTTCCTATCACTTTGTCATGCTTGCTTGTATCATACACTTAAAAAATAGATGCGAGTCTGCCGATTTTATATTTACCGCCACTATCTCGACTAAATCTTGCCCCTGTATGTGCACCTATGTGAACGTGTTGACACACGCCAACGTAGCCAGGGCAGAAGGTAGAGCCCGTTCTGCCATCCTTCTGATGAAAGCGCTGACGAAGATGACGACGTCAGGAGTGGTGGCGCGAAAACGGTGACGCTTTATCGAGCCGCCTTCGAAAGGTGAATCTAGGCCGGCAGCTAGGAAGGGACCGTTCTCGGCGGATTCGAATGTTGTTATGCTGTATTACCGCGCGTCGATGAGGGGACACACACTACCCAATGATAATATGCGTTCCCAAATCAAAACACGCACGAGATTTGATTGCATCTAAAGAAAATGCTCACAGAAGGGGTCTAGCAGTCGCCACTCAGTGTTGAGTTAGATTATCGTTGAAAGTACTCCTGTCTAGCTGGCTAAACTCCCGAAGCTTTTAGTTGCGGGTTGTTTGCGACTAAAATTGATTCACCTGACAACTGACGATAGTTTGACCAGATTGAGGCATGTTTTTGCGGAATATAATGGTTTATTCACACAAAAATTTAGAGAGCGAACTAGAAAATTACCTATTCGAAAGGCTCTAGGTTGATGCTTATGTTTTTTTTCAAATAATCCACCATCTAGAAAGAATCTCTTATTTATTAATATGATGTAATCGTTATTGGGCTTCTTTGTGCCTGTCACTTTCACCGGGCTTCTCCTGCAGTCTTCTCCGGTCACTCTGGAGCTGCCCAATATAGGTCCTGTCATAAACTGGTACACACACACATACTCGCGAGTCACGTTATTAGCGCATTTGCATTATGTATATAATATAGGACGGACGGCTATGGAAACGTCGGAAGCATCAGACGTTTTCCACAGCACCAGATGGGCAAACAGTCAAACTCAGCAGAGAATGCACAAATGATGACGATGATGCGTCGCCGTATATAGCTTCCCTTGTGATGCCGCCAGCGCTATTCGAATCGGACGATTCGACCGACGGCACCTTAATGGAAACAGCATGCAGCAGCAGACAACGGCGACTTTGGCCGTTTGCTGTGGCTGGAAACGTCTTGTCTGCTACACGTCTACGCCATGGCATAATGGCTGTGATGTGAAGTACTTCCTGCAATTGCTGTGAGACAGACGTTGGTTGTGACCAATATTGTCGATTGTCGATGCAAATGCTGGTCAGTGATGTCCAATGGATGCTGCTGGCTCTGCCTAGACCGGTCGCATATGAACAGCGCCGCTGTTACTAAGCGAGCAGCAGCAGACGAAGCTGTTGGTGTCGTACGTGGGGATACTGCAGACGCTCCGATCGGTCAATGGGCCCGGATATAGTCCTGAGGTGACGATTTTCCTGTGGAACATTCACCTTTCGTTAGCCAATGCCGTACATTGCCTGTCTATTTAGTGACCGTTACTACTCTAGATCCTGTCGTGTGTGATCGGAGCCTTTCGAATTTTAAATGTCGAGCTATGGCCAAACAACGCCGCTAAATCAGCGTCAAAGTTAAGGTTGTCATTGTCGCCTTCTGCTGTCCACCGATAGGCTTTCAAAGAACATCAACTGCAACTTCAGATGCAATAATTATGGCACGACTATCGTCGAACACCTCAGTAATGCGACCACCGATTTATAGAATTCTCTTATTTCGTTTATGTGCACTTTCCTTTATTTTATAGCCTACGAATAGATCCGAGGGATGAATGGCACAAAAGTAACGATAAATAGTTTAGCTATCAAAGTACCTAACGCCGCGCGGCGATTCTGTAAACCCAGTCGGCCTATGGTTTATTGTGAATTTCTATTTGTGCTTATCTTAAAAATTACAATATTATAGTGTAAAAAATTAAAAGCTACTCATATTGAAGCTTTTCGAAGCTCGACTTTGATCGCGACTGCACTGGTATCGCTTGATTGATCGCTTATTGTATGCGATATAATGCACAATGTAGACTTCGATCGGACATCCTGCACTCATCTCCTCGATGGAAAATGATTGATTTCATAGGCAAATCTGGATGAATACATTTGAATTTTTGTGAAAATATAATATAGAAGAAGACCAATCAGCAGTCAAATAATCAACTTAAACTTTAACGTTGGTGGTTTAATTCTTCAACCTAAGTCTTCCGAACACGGTACGTCGAATCACGCAATCGATTTGTGTGTTGACGCTATAACTGTGGCCAGTTTATCTGTTCTATGTGAAAAGGGCTTAGATTTGCTGAAAAAAGGGGTCTATTCATACAATTCGGACAGCACTATTAACGTAGTTCTGGCATGAAAGATGGCCTGACCTGGAACAGAATTATGACGAACGATCGTATAAATAATAGTAATACTGAACGCAGTGTTTAATATTCGCTAATTTTAGATGGAAAGATGTAAGGCAGCTTAGATCATCTTGTATAAACTATGGCCGTACGCACTCTCACACATTGGATACTTAGTTATAGTTAGTTAAATAAGAATATTATAGATCTTTATATCGGTGAAGCAATGCTGAGTCGGCTACTCTGAACAGACGACGTCATGAGAAAACAGGTGACTTGCCTAAGATATTAATGTTTCGAAGCGTGAACGCCTTTGCTTTTGGCAAGTGCATAATTACAAAATCCACAGGCCACGATTACGAAAGTCGGCTTGGCCGTTTTCAGTAGTACTCGTATAAGCCATTGGTAACTTGTCGCATTAACGCTATTTAAAACGAAGTTGACAAAGATTAAAAAGGCTAGCGTTTGGGATTTGAATTGTACCTATATCAAGTTCAGTGAACTTATTGCCGTCCTGACAGCTACAGAAATTGATTAAAAAACACTGTCCAATGGCGACACACAACGAGGTCGTGTGTTTGTTTGTAAACAAAGCTTTTTTAGCGTAAAAAAATTGAAAAGTCAGCCAAATTACCTATAGACAGCAAAGCATAGCTCATTATTTGATTCGCCTCGCCTCTTTCAATATCCAAGTTAGCTAATGCTCGACTGAACAGAAATATCAATATGGAGTCGGTAGAAGTATACCTAACTGCTGTCCAGCTATCTTCGCTGGACCCGGCTGATTCGGATCATGTCAGGGCGTAACGTTACTACTTTGGTCTGCCATATAATATCTAGTGTACACCACTCGAGGTCCCTTGCTTGCTCGTAATTTGGGTTCTACCATCTATCTGGAAATTTAGCCGATTTTCGATTCTGCCCGTATTACTGCGCAGGATGGAATCCCCTCCATATACTTAGACGACTTGCCGCATTATGTAAGAGCCACGAGGGGATGACCTGATCAACGAAGTTTCTGCACGAGTCGTTTACTAGGTCAGTGCAACAACGTATATTTGCGACCGAGCGTTTTTGTGCACCATTATTGGTGGCTTGACGGACCCGCGAACGAAGCTGGCAAGACCAAGACTCCGAAAGCAATGGCATCGCTGGCTTTTCATGTTTCCAGAAAGTGTATTGTAAGCAGCAACAGCTTTGGCTAAATTCATTAATTTTGCTATCAGAAACACATTATATATATATATATATATATATATATATATATATACGGCTTTCCAGAAATATTGTCTGAGCTAAGAGGCCCTGTATATTTTATATAAGATAATTTTGCTGGAAAGCAAAAAAGAGAAGCCAAATGAGGCCGAGTTGAATCAGTACTTTGAGACGACGCTATCATATGGGCATAACAACATTGTTAGGTGCCCTTTTTATTCGAATATTTTTTTATATTTCAACTATGAAATGCATTCGTGGATCCTTTCTGACTCTGTCGTCGAGAGAGTTGTTTCTGTTGCTTGGGAGTGAACTTATGCGCACGTTTTTTTCAAGTCTGTCCGGTTATATACAGTTTGTACGTTTGTATATGATTTATGGTTATATATATATATATATATATATATATATATAGATGATTTATTGATGCGCAACTTTTTAATTCAACTTCGTATTGATACGCTTCGTCGTTAGAGCTTTGCTTAATTATGTCTAAAATAGAATTCGGCATTCCATCCAAGATACCCGTTTTCTAGGTGGAACGGCCATTCAGTCACGCGATCATGTACTTTTTCTTTAGCTCTTTCTGAATGGGAAGTCCCGACAGCAGTTCATAGCGATTTACTTTATGGTGTTCAAGCTTAATATCTCATATCTCTAAAAGATAGTCTTCTAATTAGTTGGCCATAGTAGTCATATGAATCTACATCTGAAGTTTTGCCGACGCAGGTACGTGTCAAACGATGCTCGAGTGTTACCCCCAACGTGAAACGAACGCGAAGTTCACGTATCGATACAAATGTTTTCATATCTTCAAGCGTATACATGTCAACGTTGAATCAATAAGTTTATCCTTTTTGAACGCCATCCGTTGAAAAAAATACGACACTAATCGGATAGATATCATCTAGACGAAAATTGGCCGAACGGTCAGTCTGTTTGTGTTTGCGTCCGCGACAGCGTACGTTTGTTTCGATATGTTAGTCGTCGTTAATTGGCCGCCGAATTCGTTACGGACACGACCGTTGTACAGATACACTGGACATGGCAAAACGACTATTGCTTCGGTGTTGTTTCG